GCACTGCTGCCCACACACACACTACTTTGTTTTCAGATGGATAGAGATGTAACATGAAACCGAATCTGTGTGTGTGTGTTGTGTTGTGTGGTGTCTGATGGACCATTTAGATGAGCTGTCCCCTGGCACTATGAGCCACAAGAAAAATCTCTCAGAGCCTCCAGAGCTGTGTCCGTTTTCCAAACCAGACCTGGCACTGACACAGAGCTTCAACCTGCTAAGCTCTGAGGACTGGTGAGAAACACTGAATACATCATAAAGACAACTCAAATCTAGGGGTCCTACATATATTTATGAAATATAGACAATATAAAGATTTAAAACTATCCCACTTTAAAATTACTGTTATCCCAAATATTGTGATTTGTGTTACAAAATCTTAAAGCTGTAATAGCTTTTTATATTGCGTAGCCACTTTCAACACACATCATATTTAACAGCAACCAATATATATCAGTTTGGTGAAGAAAGTAAAGTCTATACAAAAATGGCTGCCAACTGTGTCTTTTTTTCAATCCAGGGAGAAGAAGATTGAGGGTCTGATGTTCCTGCGCTCTCTGGCCCACTACCACTCAGACACACTCCAGAGCAGGCTTCATGATGTCTGCCTGTCTCTCATTCAAGAGGTAGTTTAAGTTGTTGGATTACAATCCCACATCATTTTTACATGTTTTCCACGTGCTGCCTTACACCGTCTGATGTAGAACTGCATCTCTCTTAATTTAAAAGTTAATATCTTATTTTGCAGATCAATTTCATTTGTCAGGGTTTCAGTAATTATACAGTATATATTCTCTGCCTGGTGATTCTTTTGTCAGATAGATATCTTTAATATCTCTCCATGACCTGCTGTTTGATGCTGGAATTGTATTGTTTCCCCTTAAGTATTATTAATAAGGTCCATCTTCTTCAGGTGAAGAACCTTCGGTCAGGTGTGTCCAGGGTTGCAGTGTGCACTCTGGGAGACCTGTACACCCACATGCAGAAGGCGATGGACCAGGAGCTGGAGGGGACAGTTAAAGCTTTACTGCAGAAGGCTGGGGAGAGTAACGCCTTCATTAGGCAGGATGTTGATGCAGCACTGGATTGCATGGTGCAGCACTGCACCCCCACTCGCAGCATCAATGCTCTACTTACTGGAGGACTCAGGTTAGTGTACATGCATACACACACACAGTGAATTGTTCTACCAAACTTAAAATTTGGAATTTTTGTGGGTGCATTTGCTCTATTTTAAACACCAAATAATTAAAAAAAAAATTATATTTGATTGCTGAATGGATTTCCCCTCCACTGATAGTCACCTCAATGCAGTGGTGAGAAAATGCACTGCTCAGCATCTGGCCAATCTGGTAGAGAAGGTTGGTGCTGCCCGTCTTCTCTCTGGGGGTAAAGATCTCACTGACAGAATCTTACCTGCTGTCACCAAACTCGCACAGGACTCCTCACAGGAATCCAGGTATGAGAGACTTTTTTTTTTCTTTTTTTTTTTTAAATAAAATTTACAAATTAAGAATTTATTATATGTTGATTGTTATTATTATGCCATCAAAACTGCAACAGAGATTACACAGGGAAAATACTAAATATGAACATCTCAAAACCACTGTCTGTTGTGGACAGAGTTGACTCAGTTCTGAGGTTATTTTTGATGCCATATTTTATGGTGGTGGTACTGTGCTGTTCTGGTGCTGGATTGCATTATATTGAAACCTGTTTGTATTTTTATGTTGCCCTATATATGTAAATGGATAATATGTATAATGCAATACAGTACAGTATAACCCAACATACTGTATGTCACAAACCTGCACTCTGAAACAAGTATTTAGAACACTGAAGAAAAAACTGCGTCAGTCATGAGTAAATATTGGCACTTAGTGTTTGAGTTATTACAATGGTACAACCCACAGGTACTTTGGGCGGCGAATGCTGCTGTCCCTGTCATCACACCCTGACTTTGACAAGATTCTGGAAAAATATATCCCCACCAAAGACCTGCCAACTGTCAGAGACACTGTCTTCACTCTCAAGACAAAGGTGCGGCGTCTGTTCCTCTGTGTGTTTATAAGATTGGTGTTTTTGCTAGAGGCCACGCTGCCATCTTACCTGGAGATTGTGGGTTATTTTAGGGTCTTGGTGAGATGCCTCAAGACACCCAGTCAGCCCGGGGCAGACGCTCCCTGCCAGGCAGTGGCACAGTCAGGGCCTCGTCTCTCACCAGGGAGCCTCTCAACCAGACAAACAGGTGAGTGTGAATATCAAGCACTACAGCAGAGGTGCCTGCACACACTTAATTCAGCCTTTTAAGCAGCTGCTTTCACAAACTGCATAACACATGAGTTATTCATACTTAACTCGCGGGTTTATAAAGGTGAACCATTTGATGTATTTTGTGTCATCTACAGGGAGTCCAACAGCCATTACAGCTGTAGATCTCAGACACACAGTATTGCGGACAAGACTGAATACATCAAGCAGATCTCAGGTCTGCTGGGTTCAAAGGACTTCAGAGAGAGGATCAAGGGAATCGACCAGCTAGTGGCTGACTGCCAGCACAACCCCAACATGGTCATCAATAGTATATTCCCGGTTAGTACTAGCATTTTTGGTTATCCGTGACAGTCCATGACTTCAGTGAAGTTACACCAGCGGTCAGACAAGTGTTGAACTTTTCCATTGGACATTGCTCTTTGAAAATGACTTGGTGCAAACAGTCTATTACGTTGTCAGGGGGTGTTTACAGCAGATGCACAACCGTTTTCATCTACTGTATATCCTCAAATAGTGACTGGGGCCTTTATTTACCTCATCTGCAGAAGGTAACAGGTCTTTATTTTTAATTCCCTCTGTTTGATATGAATAATTGGTCAAACCAGTATTTTAATACAATTTAAAAAAATTATAGTAAAAAATATGTTTTGTTTTCAGTATTTTTTTCAATGTTTCTTTGATATGAACTTATCTTGTCATAGTTTTCAGCTACCACCATACAATTCTGTTTCATCATGAAATCATCACCAAACTGTCTCTCTTTTACCTTTTTGTTCTTCTCCCTCGGGCTCCCCTTCTGTCAGGTGTTTGATGCCTTCAAGGCCAGGCTGCAGGAGTCCAACAGCAAGGTCAACCTGTATGCCCTTGAGTCACTACAGAAAATCATCCACTTGATGAAGGACAACCTGTCCCAAGTAGTCAACATCCTGGTCCCAGCAATCGTGGACAATCACCTCAACTCCAAGAACAATGCGATCTACTCTGCTGCTATTGGAGCCATTAATGCACTTATCTTAAATCTTGGTACTCACTTCAAGCATTTGGATTTTGTAGTATAGGTGAATTTGACATCTGATTAAAAGAATTCCTTTTCATATTGTACTTTTCTTTGTTCCCTTGATAGATAACATACTCCTTCTCCAGCCCTTCTGCACCAAGGCTCAGTTTTTAAGTGGCAAAGCAAAGGTGGATCTTATCGAAAAGGTTGCAGGTATGTCTGTTGTGATCATTCTGAACGCTGTAATAAGTTCTAACCTCTGCTCTCTGATTTGTTTGTATTTGACCAATTCTTATTTCCTTTCACTTCCTGTTTCCAGATCTTGTGACAGAGCTGTACCCTCGCAAACCCCAGGTGGTGGAGCAGAAAGTGCTGCCCTTGCTGTGGCACCTCCTGGGCACCTCTACTCATAGCGGCACCATTCATGGCCGGGGCGGAAGCGTGAGGGGTGCTACCGCCAACCTGTGCCAAGCCCTTTACGCCCAGATGGGGTCCAGCCTGAGCGAGTGTGCTGCCTCCCAGCCTGCCAATGTCCACAAAGGTTTAAACGAGTTCCTGAGGGCATTATCCTAAAGGTTAAGCCGAATCCAAACACAACCAAATGTTGGAAAAGAAGAACATTAACACTGACCTTACTTGAAGACGGAGATGTTCTACATTTCTTTTAGTGCCTGCACTTTTATATCAATAAAGAGAAAGTCCTTAAAAATTAGGCGCTCTTAATTCTTATCTCAGTGAGATCTCCTCTGGTACAGAAGCATGGACAATATAACATACTGACATCAGGTCTTACACATACTCAACCTGCTCTCTTTGCACTTTGAAAAGGTAGCTCATTATCATGATAGACGTCATGAGTTTTACATTATACCTATATATCCTATGATTGTCATTGGTTTTTTTTCATAATCTAAACATGTACTGTAGACAAATCAGAGACACTATTGCAGAATGTAAGATTGAAATGCACAAAAAGAAGAGGAAGAAGACAGGGACCTGAAAGGTGTATATTTTTGCTGTTTCATCAAATGTAATGTGATATTTTTATGTAGTTGTTTTGAAAATTTGTGAATTGAGATTAACAAGAATAATACAAAATACTTTTGTACAGCTCAAATGTGTATTTGCACAGTATTAATCGTATGCTGTATGGTACAGTTTATAATTTATCTATTGTGTAATGCTTTTAAAGTCATGTTAATGATGTGCTGAGTTGATACTGTCTTTTTTTTTGCATGACCAAAATTTACTGGCAGGATCAAAATTGTTTCTATTTTTGTTAAGGAGGTATATATATATATATATGTATATATATATATTTGTGTGTGTACACTAATGCCTAGATCACGGTTGGGTTCTAACTAACGCTCCTGGATGAGGACAGCGTGAAAGGAAAAGGAGTTCAGCTTTACTCCTGCGGTTGCCTGAGAAAAGTGAAGTCCCAGATCTGATTCTGTCTCAGTATAGTGCCAGTCTTCAAGTAGCCTTTTAATTCAACTATTGTTAAGTTATATCAAACTTGTTTGTGAACAAGCGCAAAGACAGATTGGTATATAAATAAAGTGTTTTATTTCTGTAAAACTAACTTCCAGGTGCCTTATTCAGATTTTAAAGGGAGGGGGTATTGGGGAATTGACCACAGCTATATTTTATTTTATTATATATTATCTATTTCTCAAGATAAAGGGTGACTTAAATTCTGTCCAAGAAACACACATTATTACACCTTTTCCATAAATTACCTTTATTTGCGGTATTTACAGTATAATCACTGAATACACATGAGATTCTTCACAACTTTTCTGTTGTTTTGACTGTACCTAATTCCTATGGCATGTTGTGTGTACAGCCAGTCTTCTGGTGAATTTCCTCTCCTCTTAATATGTAAAATAACAAATGTCTGACTGTGAAAGATCTTTGATGGACTAACCAGAATAAGAAATGTATCACATGTTCCAAGGCCTTGGATAAGAGGTAGGCTTAGCAAGCAGTACAAAAGACTTGTTCATATTTAATAACCAAATGCACCAATGCTTTGACATACTTTGATGTTTGGATTGAACACTAATATCACTTTAATTGGCTTGTCAGTGATTAAATATTATGGCCAAGGTACAGTGCTGCCAAGTTTGGAGTTAAATACAATGCAAATCATAATCTCAGCCCCTAAATCTTTAACTATGAAAGTAGCTGCCATTTTGAAATAGTACCACACAGAGATTTATACCAGCTGCATTACTCTGTGGATGTGCTAGCCAACACAGTGTCGGACTGGACAGACTCTGTGTAACCTACACGTTACATGCAGGGACATTTCAGTAGCAGGGTGGAGTAGATTGTGCTTGGAGGGATGCTGCTACTGGGCCTTCATTTATAAAAATAAAACCTAAAGGAAATCCTTAAGAAGCACGGACAAAATAGACAAAATTGTCCTACTAACAGTAAATTATTTTAAACCATCAGTGTCAGCAAATACAGTATACTACACATTGGCAAAACATCATCAACTATTTTACATACAGCATAAGTAAATGAAACACCCATTTTGAGCCTTAGGTGTCCTCACATAGTCCCTTTTTAATAAGAAAGGGTCACCCAGATATTAAATCCAGTCCGTTTTCCAGTATTAAACTTTTTGCAGATATATAAAAATGAAAGTGTGCATTCAGAATAATAGCAAAAGTGAATACTCCCTTCAAACTTCAGAGCTAACCACAGTGGTGTTGTCAAGGGCCAAATACGTTTGCTACTTGCTATGTAAGTATGGCTCATATTTCTTACCTTTGTTGACAGAGACATATACCATCCAAAATTATACAAAAGAACAGGCATAACATGAAATAAAGAAACGCAATATAAAGTTTTAAACTCTCTGAAATGTGCTTTTTGTAAAGGGAACAAAGGATCAACAACTACACTCACTTGTATTCAGTTATTTGTTACCAAAAGATGTAACTACCAACTGAACCGAAGCTAGTTGATGCCACAAAAATGTTCAAAACTTGCTAAATGTTTTCTTCTCCTACAACTGTTTAGTAAACCCTCTGATCATTTCTTGTGCAGTCATGAATGAGGGGTTTATGATTTTGGTTGAGTGTTCATTTAATGCTCAGCTGCTTTGAGTCACTGTATCATTCCCTGGGCTTCACTGACCAAATGGAAAAAATAGCCCCTCCTCCTGTGGATCTTTCCATTCTGTTACTAAGGCAGCTGGATCAATGCCATGGCAACCTGGACTGGTTGGATGTTGGGAGAAGATGAGTGTTTGGTCGCCATCCTCCACACCTCACTTTGTCAGGGACCAGATGTCTTGGGCAGGTCCTGGTTCTCAGCCAAGTGGAGCTTTTGTCTGAACGTAGACACATTAAGGATTCACACAGAAGGACTTTGAACTGAAAACAGATTATTTAAATCCAATGTTTGCGCCTGGAGTGCTGGGTGACTCCCATAAATAAACAGACGTTTAATTAGGAAAGGATACATTGAGGTGCTGAGCTCCTCCAGCTGTGGGAACAAATGAACAAATAGATGAGAGATTGTATTGAAAATATACACAGCCAAAAACAGAAACTGCAGTGATACTACAAGGCACTAATTACTAAATGTGATCATATTACATAACAGCCTGTGTGTCACATCAATATATGAATTAAATTCCCATCATTAAATTGCACTGTTTACAAAGATACATACGGTCAGCTTCCCTTATCTACACAAAGGAAAGTTACTTCACAGCCCATCTGGCACAATTATCCACTGCTGCTACAGCGAGCAAGTATTCCTGGCAGCAGTATCTGTAATGAGCTGAAGGCTTTTTCTCCCCTCCCTCACACACAACGCTGCAACTTCCCCACAGCGAGCATACCAGCCCCAGGCGTGGGTAACTAGGAGCCACACAACACACTAACAATAGAAACTCTTTCAAGGCATTCTTTGACTGCACATCACTGTTTGTGCTGGATAATATTTAACATTTGGACATACTAGCAGCTCAGCAAAGCATTTACCAATTTTAATACCTGTATATGAGTAAGAACAACATGCACTGTCTTCATTATACAGTATTGTATTTCTAAAAAAAAAAAAAAAATCAAAATTGAATGCAATGAGTGAGTTGAAAAAATTGGATTTAATATAATATTTAATATTTTTAGGCATTATTACTTTTAATTTCCAGAACTTTGATATACTAGCTTGAATACCATTTTTCACCAGACCGTCCTTACTACTGAAATGCCCACTTATTTTAAACCTCACAAATGCAGATTTTTAACCCTAGACCCAATCCAAGATAACCCTGATGACATCATCAGTGTTGCTTTTTAAAGTTTTTGAAAACTCCTCCAGAGTCACTAGACATCAACCAACTGTTTTCATAGGCTGTGTAGTATTCCTCATGAACTTCATGTGTAGAGTTCCCCTTTAATGGATCTATTTATAGGTTTTGCTATTGCTACATAGCCAGCATTAGCATTAACAGCTGTATACTTACCGGTCTTGCAAAGAGCTTCACCCATCGTTATGTTTACAATACAAGAGGTTATAATATACCTTCTGAGCAGCGCTACTTCTTCAGAGTAGCATGCATGCTGCAGTGACTCGGTATCGGAAAGTGACCAAATGGAGATAGCTGGTTAGCATGCTAACTTAGAAGAAAAGTAGTGATAGAAATAGAGGAGTAACAAGAGGGTTGCTTTCCACCACTGAAGCTGGCTCCTGGCGATTACTGGGATGAAGTTTGATGCTAAGATCAGAACATTTCTTCTAGACTGGTAAGTAAACAGCTGTTAATGCTAACATTTAGCAAAAGCAAAACTCACAAATAGTTCCAGTCAATCAGCATTTGACAGTAAAACCTATAGTGAAAACGGCCTCACTCTGTCTGAAGAAACTGCTAACCCACCTAAACTAGAATAGGCTTTTTCAGTGGAGAGTTTCACATGATGTTTCAGTGGCTTAACAGAGGGAACAATGAAACACATACTGATTTCCTGACCCTTTGCTGCTATGATTTGTGCTTACGTTACTGAGCAGGTGTTCCAGGTTGTGGTCAGAGGCACACTTCCTCTGGTCCTCTGAAAGCTCCTCCACATGGCTGTCGAGGCTGAAGTGTAATCGTGCAAGCTTCTCCTGCATCTCACGCACATGCTCCAGCTGCTCAAAGGAGCATACCTTACCTAGAAAACAGAGGGGTTAAACTACACAGATGTGACTTTACTATAGCACAAAGTGTAATCTCTTTTTGGTGCAGGAGGATTACAGCAAAGTCAGAAGTATTTCCATGGCAGCAGAAAATAGCTCCACTGCTATTTGATATCAGCCTGATTCATGTAACAAAGCCACTTTTCAACTTGCTTTATTTTCAGCCTGTAACAGAATATTCCCCCGGTGGCCCATCTAATCAAGGTTATCTTACCGAAAGCCTGTAGTTTGCCTGAGTGGAAGTCGTTGAGGAGGTTGAGAAGCCCTCCCTCCATCTCTCTCACATCTGAGACGTCTGTGAGAAAGGAGTGCTGCAAGGGTGACGACTGGACTACTTTACTGGGCCCTGCTGGCTGGGGGGCCCTGGGCTTCTCCTTGTGGGGCCTGAGAAAAAAAACAAAACATCAGGATCACTAATAACCTGCCTCCTCTATTTATGCTAATGTGTTGGAAAATGAATAATAGGACAAAAAAAGCATTTGTAGCAGTTGTAGATAAATACAGGTGTTTTCTGGAGGATTTTCCTGTTACTCATAGATACAAACCTGGTGGTCTTTGGTGGAGCTACGACGGCTGTGAACACCTCTTTGGGCTGTCCCGGTGCACCTATGGACCTCTTATACTTGCCTCTGTTCTTGGGGGAGGGAGGCTGCGGCAGTCCGAGGGAGAAGGTAGCACTTTTGCTGGCAGGCAGAACGGACAGTTTGCGGGGGTTGATGGGGGGAGGAGGGGGCTGCGGGAGAGACACCTTTGGGCTGCGCTTCTTGCGTTTGTCTTCCATTATTATTTATTTTTTTAAGTGAAGCCCTCTGGGACGAGATGAGGGGGCACTCACTGCCTGGCTGGTGTACAGGATGTCCTGCAACAACAAAGGTAGGAAGTTCAAAAGCAGCAGCCTTCCCTTCCCTAAGAGAAGGGCTCTGTGGAGGACACTGACTGCCAAAATTAGTGCTGCAGCTCAGGATTCTCTACACTGCAGACCAAAAGCATTTAGTGATGTTTTCATTAGTGTAACAGCTCACATTGGATTTACAGTAAATCTGGCAAAGAAAAAATCCAAATCAAGAAGTAGCAGTGAGGAAGAGTATACCACTAACCTACCTACCTAAATGGGATTGCATTATGATGGAACTTTTTAATGGAAGCAATTTCCTGCTTTTGTTTCCCTGGTGTAAAAAAGTGGGAGTGAAACAGTAGCCTAGAAAAATATTTTTAGAGCAGCCTCAAAGTGGAAAGACCTTACAGAATGTGTGTGAAGAGAAGGAGGATGCATTAGTGTTTTGAGTGCATTTTCAAACTCAACAAACCAAAATACACTGCAGTTGTCTTGTTTTAATGGTTTACAACATGAGTGAATTGCATAGACAGACAACTGCTTGGACTGCTGCACAAAGATGCAGCACAATACTCAACATCCTGTAGTGTTTTAGAAATGTGCCTGATGTACATCACTTTCAAACAAATGGCTGAATGAGAAAATCAATATACTGCATTCTTATTGAGACTATCTTTGGTGGGTTGGTGGAGTTTTACCCCTTATCTATTTACACTAAGCAACTAGAACAATAGAAACATCTTAACAATGCAGTGTAATCAATAAAACATTCAATACAAAAATACTATAATAAGTTCCACAAAGGTATAACAAGACTTGGATTGCACTGAATTAGTTTTAAACCACCTTATTCCTATGGGTCTTGGTAGTTTTGCTGTGGTTTTAGTGCCATATAACCATTGCAGCAGCAGAGCGGGTGTTTATGGCATTTCATTATTAGGCTAAGTGACTACATTGATGCTGCTACAGGGCCAAAATAACGCTTTATCGCATTACAACAAATGAAATCGCTGTTAAAACATCTGAACACTGCGCCAGCCTCCGCTCAAAGTAGAATCCAAAGATGGCCACTACATTCATACACAATGCCAACTTTATACGCCTAAATCCTTCTTTACCTGCATTATATCAATGTTGTACAATAAATGATTAAGAGGACTTTGCAGGCATCAGTTTGTTACACCATACGGTTTAATTCAGTGCGAGAGAAGACGTGTAAACCAGATTTATGGTCTACGAATGACACAAATAAGACTTACCGGATCAATTTCGCACCAGAGAGCAAACAGGCTGGACACAGCGTCACATTTCTCCTTCCGGGATTTAAAACGTTCAAATACACTTCCTGTGAATTAATATGTATTAAGCACGATAATGTTAAATTATCCCTGCCGCAGCCGTGCAAATTACTGATGAAATGTAAAGCGCGGCATCGATGCGCTCGGCTCGTGCGGAGCTGTCGCCTTTATCCCTCTTAAAGGGCCAGTCCACGCCGCTGTGTTCCGCTGGGAGAGGTGGCCGATCTGCGGGTTAGTGCCTCTGTTAACAGGATGCTGTGTCCTGCTCGGCACTGATCAGCTGCCAATGGCTTTTTGCAAATAACCCACTTATACATCTTATTATGGGCTAGAGGGTGTGTCTATACAAAGTTACTCCGTACCTGAAGATAATACAACCAGACCACTTGGTGACGCCAATGCTCCGCATCTGTATTTCCACATCTCCTTAACTGACATATTGAAATATAAGTTTTGTTGATGGTAAACATGGGAAAACCTTCCTGATGAGTGACTTTCCTCTTAACTTAAAGGGCCATGCGACTGATTTTACATATACACACGTCTACCATTTGTTTTTTATACACATATTATAATTGTGAATACTAATAAGAGTTGAAATTTTTAACACCACTTAATATTGCACTGAAAATCTATAATTTGGAAACCATCCATCTGAATTCATGTGCTTTGAATTTCTCCTACCAGAGTAATTTTTTTGGGCTTACAGATTCAGATACAAAATTCAAAGGTATGGGTTTCCAGTCAATCATCACGTCTGATTTGGTAGCCTGAGTGTTCAAGTTTGAATTTCATCACGTATCCAAGTTTGAGCAGTTTTGAACTTACTTACTCTTCATTTTTCTAATCTAAAAATGATCAACTGAGTTTAATTTTTTACAGCTTGCCTTTTAAGTATTTAAGAGCAAAATTGAAACCACTTAAATTCAGTTAGATGGCTTTTAAAGTATAATATATAAATGCTTTAAATTCAGTTGAATTTCAACATTTAGTACTCAATGTTTATAAGATTCAGAACATTATGGTCACTTTGCCTCCATATCAATACTAAATTGCTGCAAAACCCAACAAATAGTTTCCAGCAGTGAAGAGTAAATTAGTGTCAATTGTCACCTGAAATTTCCACCCATTTGCTATTGTAAGTTTCTTTTTTTTTTTTTTTTTTTTGTAAAACAGAGGCCTCTTGTGGTGGGAATGGAAACATGTTTTAGAACAAAGACTCCAACAAACCTTTAAAGTAATACAAAAATATTTCTTTTTATTATGGCAGAACAGAACAAAAACGTGACACAAAATGCAGTTTATAAAATACAGAGCTCTTAGGCATGTTTGTCTTGTTCCAAAGTGAATGTGAACAATAACTTAAGTCTAACTGACTTTCTGGTCTGATGAGCTGTTTGAGTACGAGTATGCCTTTCCTAGAACTATTCTGTCTCTGAGAAGTTTGAAGAAGGCGTAGTAGTTGCTGAAGAGAATCAGAGCCAGCGATATTGTCTGATGCCACTTTTCTGAGCATATCAGTGAGTAGAGCTGGTAGAATATTATCGCACCTTCCAGGATGATGAGTATGTTGAGTATTCGTAAAGGCCTGTTGAAAAAGAACTAGGGGATAGAAAAAGACAGGATGCTGTAAGTCTGTGCAAATAGCTGCCTCCTTAAAATGCCACAAATATTTAACAAAACATGCCATGTCAACACAGGCTCTCTGAAATCTCTAGATCTGCTTTTATTCTACAGGACCTGATCATAAAGGAATACTCACATAGAAGCGATAATGGGACACATCTGATGGAACTGCAACATTATAGTGGCCCATGGCCTTGTAGACATTCTTATTATGTTTGACCAGGACTCCTTGTGGCCACATGTACTCTTCTGTCCAGCTGTGCAAAATGAGGTAGAAGAGCAAGATTAGAACTTGAATAAAATTACATCCGAATGGACCTAAAGTCCAGTAACAAACAATGCGCAGTACGTACATGTGCTGAAGGACATTTGAGCAGAGTGAGGGGTCTACTTTCTGCCAGCAGCCCAGGTGAGCCGCAGCCTTGTGAAGCAGGTCACAGTATCGAGGTGGCAATAGGTGCCTCATGAGGATGACCGACGTACTGACTGACACCAAGATGAACAGTTCACAAGACCAGCGCTTGTCCACATACTGTGTACTCTGAAGGAAAATATACAGGTGGAAAGATGAGAAGACTTTAAGAAGTGTTATTAAAACATATTGAATGTTTAAGTTAACGCTTAAAAAGTTTCTCACCTTGACAAACCAGACAGGTACAAAGGCCACATAGTAAGCACTGAGCATCGAGCTGACCAGCACCTCCTTCATCCTCCAGTTGAAGTCCATCTTTAGGTACTCCACCTCCTTGCGGATGAGGTCGGGGGAGAGGCAGCAGGCATGTGTTGGCATGGCCTGGACACCGTACAGCTGGCTGGTGTGCTGCTTCCACGTCTCCTTCAGCACAGTCAGGTAGTCCCTGCCCCGGCCCATGCTGCCCACCTCCTTGGAGCCGATGCTGGCGATGGGTGAGAGTGGACCTGCTCTCCGGAAGTCACAGTTCAGCCGGAAGAACGGAATATACATCCCAAATCTGTAGGATACAATGACCAGATTTTACTTATGCTGGACCTGAGGCCCTCCTTGTAGATGGAATGACACCACTAACGCCAGAGTAGTACCACCAAAATATAGGTGATAAACTATGATCAAATTATTTTTGTCTTATCAATTCAGAAGCTATTCAAAAACTGTCATAATGATGGGGCGTCGTGTGGCGTAGTGGTCTAAGCAGGCGCCCCATGTGTAGAGGCCACAGTCCTTGCTACTGCACTATCAAATAAAGGCATAAAAAGCCCAAAAAATATACTTTAAAAAAAAAAAAAAAACGGTCATAATGATACCATAATGATATATCCATACCATATCATGAAAATTTAGTCCTCATTGAGATTAACATCAAATGTGGCCACCTTCTGCACATCACAGTCTGTTGGCTGCTTGCTAGGTGATTTGCTAGAGCCACCCATGCTGAACAGCATCCAAACTGCATAAGCTCTTAGGCCTGCCAGGAAATGATGGGTGCATCATCCTAGCTCAAATTCAAGCTGCATCGGGTTATTAATATTTCATAAACCAAATGTTAAAAAGCAGTGTTTCAATTCAAGGCTGCACTACAATGCTCAAAAAATAACAAATACCTTCCACAACACACTAACAAGATTTGAATGATCAGTTTGATCATGTTGCTGGTATGAATATGAACCTCTTTGTTCTTCCTAAAGATACTTACGGGTAGCAGAGGAAGAGCAGGCTGAGGACAGAATAAGTTCTGAAGAGGTAAATAAGGGAGCGGCACAAGCTCCAGCCTGTCAGCGTTAGCACAGCAAACCGAGCCATCACTAAAAAGATCGAGTGAGGGAAGGAGAGTTTCCCGCTCTGTGATGCCTGGAGGAGACAAGAGATGGGAGACAGACATAACAGTCAAGTGCATTCCACCTTAATTTGCCATAGAACAACCATCAACAATGTATAAGAGAAGGAAACAAATTTACAGAGAAAATCCAAAAATTCAAGAGCAAAACTCTTCAAAAGCCAAGGGTGCAGTGTTTTCTGAGAATTTCTAAAAGCAGAGGTGACTATGTGGGCTTGTAAACACAGTGCAAGACCAGTTTCACAAGTTCTAGTATCTCTAGTAGCTTTGCTTTTATTTTCATATATAGAATAAACTTCATTCAGCATGTAAAAATCATGTGAAAAAGATTGCAAAAGTCAAAAATGGAATTCTTACCTCTTTAACAATTGCTGCAATTAACCTCCTTGCCAGTATGATGATTGTGAACACCAGCATGTTATAATCAATGAGGTGAAAATTCTGTAAATAAAAAGACTGATTCAGGATGACTGCTCCCACTCTCCACATAAACGTCACTTTATCTTGTCTATATTAACAAGTACACTGGCCTAAAACACCAGTTATAGCAAACATACAAGACAATAGAGATAGATTAATCTCTGAAAGGGCATATACAACTGATTAAAAAAATGCTTTCACGATTAACATGAAAGGTCAACATCTGACCACTGAGTACTCACCAATGATGTGTGGGAGGGGGGGTGTGATGGGGGGTACCACCATACAGTCTTGTAGATGTTGACATAGTGAACAAACAGGGCAATGAGGTGGCAGAAGAAAAGATGGAGCTCAAACAGCACGTTACAATCCACAGACAACTCTGGGATCTTGCAGTGCTTCAGAGGAACCACTGTCTGAGCAGCCAGAGGGGGGCTGGACATGCATGTTCCCGATCCATTCCTGCAGACAGAACAGAAGGCACAGAGAATACTGAAGAAGCCTTTTAAAAAAGTATTTTTCTCATGATGCACCCCAGATGAGTGTGATCTGAAGGAGTGTATCTGAGCCTCACCTACCTGGTACGAGACCGCACCCCTGTGACCGGGGAACTGGTAGAGTGGTTGCCATTGCTGACCGAGCCTGGTTCACTGCTTAGTGGAGGTCTGCAGTACGTGGTACGGTTTGCCCCTCTCCTTCCACCAGCCATTGCAGACACACCCACGGTTCAGTTCTCTCTGCTTCCCGTCTAGTTTTATGATCTCTCTCCTTTGTACCTGTTCAGACGAAGGAAGCAAGTCAGACAGACACAGACTGGGAGGAATATCCAACATATATGTAAAATTACTTACAAAATAATGGGTATAAATTATTTGAATAATTTTGTGGCATGTGTCAAGTAGGATCGAATTTCCTGGCACAGCAACAGTGATGAAATTATATTTTGGTCAGTGATTGGATTTGACACAGAGCTGATAATGGAAGGAGTGGTGCACAGAGCCACAACAAACACAACATAAATACTTTCTTTAAATCTTTAATATTTGACTGCCAACAAAAACAAACGGCGGGAATGACCTGCAGCAATTCTCCTTCATAAATATGCAGCACAAACTTTTACCGTTAAACAAGTTTGCACTGGCTGCATGGCAACCCTTAATATGGTGCAAGTTTTACGGAAGCTGACATTACGAGCTAGCTTCTTAGCTGTATGATTTGCCCACTTCCCGGGTCAAATATCGCTTATAGAGCCGTTTATATTTGAGACATGTGGCAGCAGCCAAAAACAGCGTGGACCTATACAATGAGGGACGGACTCCAATGTGTCCGCCAAGACCATGCTTCAATAAATACAAAGATTGAGGCCTAGGCTAGCAGTGTCTTTGGCTAGCTAGCTAGCTTCCAACCAACATACCAACCAAACAGGCTGGGCGAGAAAATGTAAGCTTACCAACGACAGCGTCCGCGCTCTGTTAGGTGCTGCTCTGTCGCATCGATTATAGTTTAAACGCAATAAATTTTCAGGATACTCGTTGAAATGCGAGCGTGTTTTTCACGTAAATCAGCGAAGACACTCATTGTTGATGTGAAACTGGCTGCTGATAGATGGGGGCGCGGATATGATAGAGACCTGTGGGAGGAGAGTCATTTAAAGGGACATTCCACCACAACAAGGAAAATAAAGAAGGGAAATAAGTGTGCTTTGATGATAGATAATATAAATACATCTCCATGTTTCTTTGTAATACAGCTGCAGGATCATAAAGGGACTTTTTTACACACTACAGCTGCTGCAAATGAATATATTGTGTGCATATAATTCTGCTTGCAGTGTATAAAAAAAGGCTTTGGCGCAACCTGTGCACTGATTGTAGATTGTATGTTTTGGAAGTTTCATAATTCATAAAGACATTTACTGAAGTGAGGTAGTGCCTCTTGTCTTGCTGTTGCACAAGGTTTATCATGAACTTTTCATTTTCAGCTGTGCATACAGACACTCTGTCCACACACATGAACTCTACTACTGCACTGCTGAGTGTTACAGGATCTTTGGACTGTAATGGGTACTGGCACCAGGTCGGTGAAAGTTTTAACCATAAACTTAAATTATGTATACTCTATATTACTGCCTACCATCAAGAAAAGACTGTTGTTTTTATACATTACAGGATCAACACTATGAACATATATTGCATTTGAAACTTGCTTGAAAGTAGACAGTAAACATGTCTGCATAGCCCTTGCATATTGAAGGAACATTTAACCCTTATCGGTGCCAACTTTTGCTCACTTTTGGCCAACATATGACTTATAAATGTATAAACTGCACAACTTATGCTGTATCTGTAACCTCATGATGATGATGTACAGTACATAGTGTAAAACTTGGTATGGTCTGTAAACCTGTTCAGCCTGGGTTTACAAATAGTATATCATTAAAAACAGCATGATTACAGCAGTTTTTCTTGGGTAAATCTCACTCTATCACTTATTGGTATATGTGAAAAGTAGCAGAGAAAGAAGTCCAAACAACACAAAATATAGTTGACTGAAAAATGAAATAGGATCTATGCACATATACATTATATGACAAGATATAACAGCAAGACTACATAAGGCAAGGCAAGTTTATTTATAAAGCTCTTATACACACTGGCAACTCAAAGTACTTTAAAAATGAGCAAATACAAGAACATAGAAGGAAAAATTTAAAAAAATAAATAGAAATAAAAACAAGAGGTTAAAAAGAAAAGAGTACATTCATTGGGAGAAAGTACAGTACATTTGATCACTTAACAAAGGGATCTCAGAACAATTTAGACTTGAAACAGGCCACAGTTGGAGCAGCTTTGATACCATCAGGACATTGGTTCCAGAGTTGAGCAGCATAGCAGCTAAAAGCTGCTTCACATGTTTAGTTCTGACAGTATTACTAACACATTTCTCTCCTGTGATTTGAGTAGCTTAGCAGGTGTGTACTGCTGAAACATATCTGAGGGGTATTTTGGTCATGCCCCATGTAGTGATTTACCGGATGTACCAAAAGCCAGTGGAAGGACTTATTGGAGTAATGTGGTCAGTTCTTTTGGTTCTCATGAGGACACAAGCAGCTGCGTTTTGTACAAGCTAAAGCTGTTTGATGGTCTTTATAGGAAGGCCTGTGAAAAGACCATTACAGTAGTCAATCCTGCTGGACATAAAAGCATGAATATGTTTTTTCCAAATAATGTTTTGTCATTAGACCTCTAAGTTTGACTATGTTTTTGACATGGTAAAAAGGTTTTTAGTTATGGCTCTCATGTTTGTTTGTTTTTTTAAATCTGAGATTGCTGTTAATTAAGACACCAAAGTTTTTAAGAATTATCTTTCACTTTAAGTCCTTTTATATTGAGATGAATGCCAATTCTCTCTGCCAAGTCTCTCTTCATTCTTACCTATAAGATTTTTTCAGTTTTGGCCCTGTTCAGATGAAGAAAATCCAGTAGTTAAACTGGTCAATGCATTGACTAAGAAACTCTAGGGCAATGGTTCTCAACCTTTTCCAACTCATGGCCCACTTGAAAATCTCAAAAATGCTGGCAGCCCACCTCCGAACCCATAACAATTCACAACAATTCAATAACGCCTTCTCAGAGCACTTTGTATTTTAATGATAATGATCAAATATGATGTTGGCCCACTTGCGATACCTTTGGGTATCATCTGCATAAGAAATTTTACTGTATTGTAATTTCTCCAAGTGGAAGCACATAAAGGTGGAATAGTAAAGACCCTATGATCGATCCCTGGGGGACACCACAAGTCAAAGATGTTGGTGGTGTGGTATAATTTTGAGGGAAACAAAAAGGCTTCTAAACGTCTTCTAAGCATGATCTTAGCCACTTAATTACTGTACCTGAAAATCCAACCCAATGTTCCAGTCTGTGTAGTCATGTTTTGATCTACAAAGGCTGAACTAAGATCCGATACCACTAGGACTTTTAGGTTCTCCTGTATCAGTATTAGGGCGCACGTTATTTAGAACCTTAGTGAGAGCTCTGATTAGCACAGACAGAAACTCAAAACACTCACATTTAATGTTAAGAGCTTAGTTAATGAAAAACCTTTTTGATGACTTTGCCAACAAATGACTATGAGATAAAAGGCATAAATTCAATTTATCCTCAATGAAAGCTTTGCACGGAAAAAAAACAAATTATCCTGCTAATCCTTATAGTTCACTTTCGGTAATCTGATGTTTCACATGTAAAGACAGACTTCTTACAACAAAAACAAACAATTTAGGTTAAAAAAGACCTTTATTTTCAGTTTCTTTTTTTATAAAAAGACAGCTAAATGTCTTCAGTGTAAAAATATGGAAAATCTAGACACATTCAAAAGACAAAATTCCACATGATCAATGATCATACAGAACGTCTTCAACAAAAAACTAATTTCTTTCAATACTTCAGCAATATTTCAGAAGAGCAGAACATTTTCTCAGTGAGGAAGAAAGCTTTCTCTCCAATTTTTTTTTTTTTTTCTTTTTTAAAAAACTGATCATGGGATCCGTACTGAGTAGGAGGTGATCAGTCTCAGAGACACTGCAAGGCCTCTGCTCTCTCCAGGGACTTTCAATGAACCTGTTGAAAGAAGATTTGAGTCAGTTCAACAGCATAATTCAAGGCTAATGATTCTCTGCAATTTCTTTTCAACTAACCTTAAAAGGCCCGGTAAGCTGGCGTTTATTGTGTCAACTGCATCTACACAGTTCTCTGACAACCTAAGAGGAGAAACAGAAATGAGATCTTGGACACACAAGTTCCTACATACATACAATGGACAACACACATGCAAGACTAATTTTATACTACAAGTATCATGCAACTCAAGCTGAAGGGTTTTTGTCCACCAATGGGATATTTTAACGCTTTGAGTGCAACTACTAATTTTCATTAATCTACATTCTACAGAAATAATCAAGATGGAATTGGTAAGTATCGAGTGAAATGAATGGACCATTATTGGTTTTATTTGAGCAAGAGTTGCATCACAACCATTTCTGATTGTTTTGTACGGCTTATTTTGCTCGGAATAACTACTGATAGCATAATTTTGTACTTCAATGTTTTTGATATGTTTTGGATGACTTGAATTACTTGGATGTTTTGCACAGAAAACAAAACAAAAATCTAACAAATGAGTGTTGGGGTTAGTTTTACCTTCTTGTGGCGATCTTTAGGCTTTTAGAATCCTCTCCACTGCGATTTTTTTCTTTTATAAAAACCAGCCAGCATGACTTTGCATCAAAGTCAAGTAAGATCCCTGCAAGCTTGATTTGAAATACTGTTGAAATTCGGTTATTTCAAGTGGCTGAAGATGCACTGCTCTCTTGAGAGCTTGAAGAGATACACTAACTAAAGGTTAATGACAATACATATTCAAGCACTATATCATTCTCAAGTCAAACATGTATTTGGCAGCACATTACTTCAAGGAATGATGAGCTTTATTATTTTTTTTTTTTGACATCACAAGTGTCATTTAGATAAGTTTTGAAAAACAGAGGAGGAGGATAACGTCATTGGGAAAACACTGCTTTTTTTGTTGTTTTTTTTTTTTTCTTTTTAAAATCAGGCTGACGTGTATACATACAGCTTATTCGGCGTTGTTGAGAAACCACTGAGGACCACTTTCACAAACTGAGGGCATTCCTTTGGTACAACAAAGGCAAAATACCATGTTTAGATTGATTAAAAAGAAACTAGAAACTTTATTGAAACACGCACTGCAGAAAAACATTTTGGGATATATTTAGGATCCTATTTAGCCAAAGGTACACAAGCATTATGCATTTTGGAGACGGTACGGCTTAAAGCAAACACAGTTATCCTAAGGTTATGTACAAAATATTGAGTTGGCTGCAGCCTTCCTTACATGCAGTAAGGATTGTTAACCCTTCAATCTTAACAAGAATTAGTCTAACATCAGCGATGATTTTGCAAGACAGCATAATATACCAATTGTAAAGAGTGGCAAAAATAGAGGCATTTTTCTTTGTCAAATGTAATTCAATAGTGTAATATTTTTTAGGAGATCCTATAACTTCATACAACACGAGATTTGTATCGTAATATAGTAACAAATATACGATAAGACTTGTTTTTAATCAAACGGCTCAGGGCTGTATTTGAGTTTGCAACTAAATCTATTCTAGTTATAGTGAAGTTACATTGAGGCATTATGAAACATTTTTGTCCAGTCAAGAAGGACTTTTAAAATGCAGCCTATGTGAGAAAGGTTTATCGCCACAGTCACTGAAACTGAAATACCCATCAAATACCACTAAACGTTCCTGGTTTATGTCACTAGGACCTTAACTGCCAACTATGCAACTGACACAATCATTAAATAGAAACAGATAAACAATGAAAAAAATGTGCGCTCATTTTTCTCCCCTGGCTCTATGATACATCCAACAAAAGGTCTCCGAGTTTAAAAAACAAAATAATAAAATAAAGCATAAAAAAACGGAACAAACGAGGGAAATTACTTTTGAAAAGTTAAGCGAGTTACAATCTGAGACAGTTGCCACAGCAACTCTCTACCAGTAGCCGTTCAGTATCTTCCATATGGATGTTCTCTATACGATCCCTTCGACTGTCTGGACGGGGGGGCTTTGCCTCCGGCCCCAGAGTTGGACCATGAGTTGTCCCAGTCATCTTGAGCTGCAAGGACAGAAAGAAAAGAAACAAAAAAGTGTGCGAGTGTGGTAGACAGAAGATACAATCATTGCTTAACAATGTGTCGGTGAGCATTTAATTGGTTAGGCACAAAAAAAAAAACAAACAAAAAAAAAAAAAAACAAAAAAAAAAAAAAAGGTGGATGTCATATTTATAATCTTACCATAAGGCTCATATGATGAATCCTGGGCCTCCCCGTGTCCGTAATCATAGTATTCAGTATCCCTGCGGACAGATTGCAAAGTAGTGTTAGAGCAACACACCTCCAACTTGTAGTCAGACTAAATGGGCGAAGCCACCCAAAATTTTGACTTACGCAGGTGCAGACTGCTGACTATAATAACTATCATATCCTTCATAGGCAGGCTCTGCATAGGATTCTTCATATGGAGGCTAGAAGAAAAAAAAAATGAAGTTAGGAAAAGTAAAGTGAGTCACGACTACTTTGACAACAGAATTCACACTTCACCGGGCAAGAGATCACTACCATTTGTTAAGTGACAATTCATGTGAAATCACAAAATAGAGGATTCGAGAAACTTACATAGTCCTCATAGGCATCAGCTTTGGGCTGTGATGCTGAAGGAGGAACTTGGTGTTGCTGGTGGGACAGGGCTGAGGAGGGGAGCATTCTTGGTGCCCCAGCTGCAGGGGGTCTAGAGCGGGGAGCTGAGCCTCCTCTAGTAGGTGCAGAAGGTAGACCACCCCTACCAGATGGTGCACCTCTAGGGGCGCTGCCCCGTCCTAGTCCTCCCCGTGGAGCTCCACCACGCATTGCTCCTCGTGGGCCCCCACGTGGCATTCCTCGCCCCCTGTGGAAAGTTTCTAAAATGTTATCAAACTGAAAACAGATTAGCAAAAATATACTACTACTACTACTAATAATAATAATAAAGTACAGCTACATGTTTGAGCATTTTGCTTCATGCTGCTGCATGACATTCAATGTGCTGCAGAAATCAGGCGCTATTGTCATGAATCAAGCTCCTACCTTGGTCCTCCAGCACCGGGAGGTCCACCTCTGCCCCTTCCTAGGTGACCACCTCGCCCCCTGCCTGAACCATCCTGGGATCCATTCAAGAAGTGAGGATCCATATACGGGTCATGCTCACCAGGTTCCTATAGATGAGACAAAAACAGCAAGTTAAATTATGTTTAGCATTCCCCTGGGGTAGCTAGAGAAAAAAAAAAAACTTGCCTGCACATCTGTAAAGCAAATGTTAAGAGTGTACAAAATATTTCTGTAATTGGGATGTGAGGGGTTCTCCCACACACATACTGGGATAAGGAACTTCTTGACTTCCTCCATGGCATGAGCCATGCGCAGATAGGCTTCTGGGATGGGTGCCGTCACTTCAATGAACACATGCAACTCCATGGCCAGGTGAGCATATTTAGCCTCGCCGCCCTTCCTCAGCTCTTCCTCCTAACAAACACATCAAAGGCAAACGATAATTAACATACAAAACATCACTTACAAGAATAATACTGGGTAACATCCTTTGAACAGTGAAGCGAAGAACACACATACCTTATTTTTGTCCCTCATGGAACCTTTACCCAGAACTGAAATTTTTGCACCAGTGTCCTCCTGGAGTCTCTTAATTGTGCTACCCTGAGGTCCCAAAAGCTTACCGACAAAGTTGACCTGCGGGAAATTTTACAGTATAAATTGCGGCTTTACATTACTCCATGTTGTTGCCATGCATAGAAGACACTACAACTAAATGTAATGGCAGGCAAGTACAGAACAGTTTGTTCCGACAAGAAATCAGGTCATGGCAGCAACATTCAGCACAACAACAAAAAAAAAAAACCTCCTTTCAACTCCACCACACCACAGTTGCAACAGCCCTCTCTTCACTACTTCAATTGCATTTTTAGACTACTGCAAAATAATTCATGCAGAAATGAGACATAGCAGGGCACTGGGCGCGTGACTTGACAAATTCTAGGACAACAAAGCTAGTGGGTGCTTCAAATTGGATACACTGGATTTGTTGTACATGCACAACACTCCTGGGCAAATTATGTTTACTGTTTAAGACCAAGCACTGATGAGAAGAAATGACTTTACCTCAGTTTTTCATTGATGACTAAGAAGAGAACCACAATATTTATAAAGTGTAATTTAATTTAAGTCCCAATGGGACCATTAAGAGTCATTAGGCATGGCCTTAACAGTTGATTGTATCTGCTCAGTTGACCAAGCACCCCTGAGAAAATAGACATTTAGACACTGGTGAAGAACTGCATAATAAAAAAAGAAGGTAACTTCTTACCCTAGGGTACTGTTTAGTGGGAATGAGTACTCGCTCTTTGAGTTTGAGATTCTTGGTAGCAAACAGGTCCAGATATGCTTCCTTCTCTGGCTCTTTCTTGGTATCACCTTTCTGGATCCTCTCAATCTCTGCGGGCAAGAAAAACGTCTTTGACCATGTGGCACTTTCAGAAGTACACATAGAAATGTATTTGCGGTGTAAACGAAAAATAAGCCGCATCTGACGTTATCTTGTAGCAACCTGCAACCCAGTCAAAACAAAGCTTCTTTGTATTCTGTGTCTTGACTGAATACCAAGCCCTTGGATCACACACTCGGTATCTCTTTGGCACATTTGTGCTGAAAACATCATTTTTATTGCATCTGTGCAATAAATGAGCTATAACAATTAACGTGCCTTGCAAACATGAGTCTGGGTCTGGGAAGCGAAATGGAGCTATTCAGTGAATTCGTAAGAACGTTAAGTATAATTAACCGGAAAGGATTCTTGCACATTTGAACATTTATTTAGGTCATCGAATAAATTGATAGGCCGCCAGAGTTAAATAACCCAATCTGACACCATTTTAACCAGAGGGATTTGACCCACATCGCTAACATCCACGTGTTCAGTGCGCCATTGTTCAGGCCGCTATCTGCCGCTGGGACCGGGACAACAAAAAGAAAGTAGGCCACACGCCCTGCTCACGCAAGCTAGCCAGTGTTAGTCCTAATAAGATAGCAACTGATCACACTACCTGCAGAAATAAGCTTCATGGCGTGTGTGAACGAAGAATCCAAGCTGTCCTTTTCAGCCAGGAGCTCCGGGAGGTACTTGCTGTCTTCCATTTTGATTTTCTTCTGTGCTGGGCTTGACTCGATGACGGACTCAGATTTGCTCTTATTAGCATTCGCTTGGTTCATAATGCACTAGCACGGCCAGGTTAACGAACGAAGCCTTGCTAGGTTCGTTAGCTTCGCCTTAAATCGAAACTGCGGCCAAGTAGATAACGGCAAAAACGGTCACGCCACACAACCTCCGGTTTCTTTCCGTGGAAAGTCGTTTGGCTCTTGTCAATGGACAAAGGAGAGATGGCGCAGCTGCATTTGAGTGAGATGGGAGGAAGGGACACGGGAGGAGACAATGACGTCACCACCACCGAGCAACAAGGTAGAGACGAAACTTTATGGAGCAAGTTGCCTCTTTGCTTTGTTTATTTTCTTAACAGGGGCGGGAATAAATGGGCCACTTTGGCAAGATACATAGTTATACTGGTGGTAGTGAATTCCGATAGTTAAGTCCCGTTTCATAAATTCATATTAACAAGTATTAATGAAACTCAAGGCAGTCAGACATTGAGACAAACAGCTGTTAGCGTAACGGAAAAAAGACATACATGATTAATGAATCAAGTGAATAATTATCTTTTAATTCAACCAATAGAGCCATTCAACGTGTACAAACAGCAGTATGTATAGTTTAACAACTGTCACTGAAGTTAGTGTTCAATTGCTAATTTGGCCCAGAGACATATTTGTACTTAAGTTTAAACTTTTTCCAGAGCAACTGCATTTTATGTTGCCATGCACGTTTCTTCTTTCTTTCTTTCAGCATATTCCACCATTTGGCAAAGATTGATTACTGCCTACTACTTTTTTTCTGCCTCAAATTTTGCGTTATCCTTGCGCTACACTACTTACTGTTGTTGAACGCATTGTGCATGTATATGGTAGGTGACAATAAAGATTAGTTAAACTGTTATCCTCCACAATGTTTTAACGGGAACTTTGTTTTTTTTTTTTATCATCATCCACACACCATTGCTTTAGATTACTTTCAGATGAGGCATTTATTCAGAACAGCTGTGAGAAACTGCCTGGGATTGGTCAGTTAAATCACAAGCACAGCCATGAACCTTCTCTATTATGTAGTGCACAAAAGTATTTTCTTGAATATGCTGGTATTGCATTTGATGTTTCCCTGCGCAGGATTTGCTGTGATCATGTCTGTCAGGTACCATTTTTCTCCTCTGGTTGAGCCTCTGAGGTGAGGCTCTTGCTGGCCTTATTGATGTGGTTTGATTGGAGGCTTGAAGTGAGAGCTGCAAGTTTACCCAAACCCACATTCCATGATGACCACATAGACTGTGGTTGCAAACACACATAAGACATAACTTTCCAACCCAGAGTTTTACATAGGAGTAATGTACTAGTAATGACTAACAAGTTGACAGTAGACTTTTGTGAATGAATCTCTCAACACCAATTTTAATTGACCTCCTCTGACTGTTAATACAAGCACAACATGCACTCAGACTTATAATATAGCATATTTCTCAGATGGCAATCAATCTGTTGCACTTTGGCATTCAGCCCATGTACTGCAAAAGAAAACCCCCTGCTCTTCTTTTGTGTTGACTTAATGGAAGCATTTTTCCTTTCAAGGTTACATATTCTCAGATTTCAATATGAACAGTTATAGACACAGACCATGAAGTTCACAATCCTATATTTGTGTGCTTGTGTGCACAACTTTAAATATTGGCTGACCTGACTGAACAACTTGCATCAACCATAGTGTTGTGAACAAAAGAACAGATCAACTCACATTTATATATATATATATATACAGGCTGGTATATATGTTTAAATAATTCATATAGAATGTGAGACAGTTTCTAATATGTTGCTATGTTGTGTATGTGACATATGGGCATTATTTGTTTTGGATATTTGTTATTTAATTCTTTTCTCAAAAGTAAAGGCTGTGTCCCTCAGAAGGACTTAATATCCACAAAATATTCAAAAGTGAGATTTAATTTTAATTTAATGTTCCAGCAACCATTTAATCGCCCAAGAAAAATAAACATTTGTTGATTTATTTACAGTGATCAGTAAGGCATCAACACAATTTCAATTTTGAAAAAGAATTTGCAAAAGCATTTCAAGTAAAACTGGGTCAACAAAAAACATTACACTCTTAAATCAAATTTTTACTTTTCAATAATGACTTTAATTTAAGAGTTCGGTTCCATGCTACTATTCCTCATTTAGATTGAAAGTTATTATGATTTCTGAAATAGTGTATCTCATGAAATACCAGCGTCATATAATTAATCTGTAATCCGTCAGTCATAAACAGTTCACCCTAGAAGTAGAAAACCTGATATTACAAGTCAATAATCAGTGCCTTACATAAAAAGGCCACTTAAACTGGCCATGTAGATATTCCAGTTCCATAGAACCAGGAGTGTGATCTCCCTCTGGAGCTGTCATCAGATATCAACAATGGCAAATATCTCTGGTTTTTCTTTATCATGGATCTGCATTGCAGAGTATGTGATGGCTTTCACCTCTGTTCCCTGGAATGGCAACACAGGACATAACACTTAGAATAAATGCACTACAATTATGTACCTTTCATTCTTAATCTTACATAATTCCTCTATTAAATATTAATTCACTTCCGTCAATAGCCTACCTGTGGATGCTTCTCCAGAGAGAATTCTTCACCCCACCTTTAATCAACAAAAGTAAATCTAGGTTGTGAGAGAGCAGCTTCAGGGAGAAAAGAATTCATCCACATTCAAACCATTCATAATTCAGTGATCTCTTGTATATGCTACATTACTATACATGCAACATTTTTCCAAATAAAAGGCAGACAGCACACGTTTGAATCTTTTGCACACACATCCGTTCATGATGATCTATGACAGTTTGGACTCAGAGTATGTGTATGTGTTCAACAGTCATTATAAAAACCTCTATAGATCACCCATAAAATACAGATGATAAACAAAATAGTGTAAACATCTAATGCTAATGGCCTTAAAATCTGAAGAAATTTAGTCACACAAACACTGCTACCACTCTGGGTAATATTAGATGGAAGTGACCAGTATTCTTCAGCTGTAAAAATCTGGCAATCAAAACTCTGATGTGCAAGTTTTCAAAGTAACATTAGACAACTACCAAAGCTCTAAAGGCCCTTCATGTTATTAGGAACAGGTAACCAGACTTACCCAATGGAGCGGATCTTGAAATGCATTCTGTCTATGTGCACCACTTTGACTTCCTGTCAAGAGAATAAAATGAGGAAACAAGTGATTACCACATAAGGTGTTTTCATAGTCTGTGCATAAACAACATCCTATTACATGTTTTAAGAAAATGATGCACTGCAGTGTAAAAGAACTCAGTGTATTTTGTATATTTCTGGAGTATATCCCAGCATACATCAAGTAACAGTAACAGTAACAGTAACAGTCTCTCACATCATACAAATTATGGGTTAACAGTCTCTAATCCATTTGACATTGTGTCTTTGTACACCCGTGTGGCTGTAGGAAGAACAAACTCTACTCAGAAAAAAACAGGGCCCAAAATAATAACATTGTTTGCAGCGATATGTCCACCATCACACAACTAACCACTGACAAACACACTCACCCTGGGAACGAAGAAGAGATCTGCACAAAACTTGTATAACCAGTCATCTAGGAAATGGAAGAGAAGAGACTCCATGTCGTCACCTTTTGAGCAGGCGATGAGGGGAAAAGAGTAAACATAAGAGTTTAATGACAGTACAACTGATAGAATAGTTAGGACTGAGGCTTGTGTTGAACAGACAGGGACTCTCACCCTGTGACTCCACTTCAACGGTATCAATTGGCTCCACTGTCTCTGTGTCCGTCATGTAGCCAAACATGCCCATGGCACATTGCTCGAAGGCTTCTTCCAGAGAGTCTCCCCAGGAATGAATTCTGGGAAGAGAAAATGTGTGTTATGATAACGATGACCGCCGAAGAACAACAGAGAAACATGAGATCTGACAAACACATTACGAAAATATCAAAACACACTCACTGTACATCTGCTGTATGATCCAAATCTGTGAAATTAACATCACAACATGATCACACAGAGCAAGTTGATTTCTTGCTATTAGACCAACTTCATGGAAACAATGAGGCTAGGTATGGCGTATGGCTACATTATTCATAGTAACTTGAGACTTACATTCATATTTCTTGTTGATTGGCGGATATTTCGACTTAACAACTTTCTGTGCCTGAGTCAGGTCTAGCGGACGATCGTCCATTGTAGCTATAAGTCTGTTTAACGTCTAAAAAGATAAACAAATCTAATCTTCACCATGTCGGTGTTACAACCGGGTTACAACATGGAAATCAGGAGGAGGTTCCGGATGTAGTAATAGTAGTAATGTGATGCGGTGATGACTTCCTGTCCGCTTTGGTGAACGCTGATTGGCTTGTCACCTTCTATGGAGTTGGCGCCATTGCAAGCCTCCGTGCTGTCTTCAGAGCCCTCTCCTCTCAAAAAATACTACTCTTTGCCAGAATTAGCGTTTTAACTGCGACGTAATGGCTGATAAAGACGGTAAGAGTGTGAATTAGGTGACTATGTCTGTGTGTGTGCACTCCAGAGTGACAGAAAGTGCGAGTCCGGATGGACCGGTGGTTGTTGGCGCGCCGGCCAGCATCTCCTTTCATTGTTAGAAACCAACCAGCCAGCTAGCTGATAGCTAACGTTAGCTGCTGACAGGCTGGCTACACAGGGTTTTTAGTTTACGAGTGCAGGTTAACTCACTTTTCCACATGGGTTGAGGTGTTGCTTAGGATCCCCCCCACAGACTAATGGGGATTTTGTATTCGTGAAGCTAACTCTTTCTACGCGTGCTAACGTTAGCTTATCAGCAAAATAAACCCGGTTTGCTTGCTAATGTGAATTTACCAAGGAAAAGACTTGGTTTAACTCTCCTTAAATGCATCGCAATATCCTCTGCTCTGTCCAGGGGAATTAGACGCTTAGTTTTCATCGCTCTGTGTTGCTGGCTAATAATACTTTGCAGCTGCGTTTGACGATGCTGTGGAGGAAAGGGTGATCAATGAGGAGTACAAGATCTGGAAGAAGAACACCCCTTTCCTCTATGACCTGGTTATGACTCACGCCCTGGAGTGGCCCAGCCTCACCGCCCAGTGGCTGCCAGATGTCACCAGGTGAGTGTTGCACCCTGACATTCACCAAAACATGACAAGAGGGAGGTCTGGGTGATGTATGTGTTATGTTCCTCTTCACAGACCAGAGGGTAAAGACTACAGTGTGCACAGGCTGGTCCTGGGGACACACACTTCTGATGAACAGAATCACCTTGTGATTGCCAGTGTTCAGCTCCCAAATGATGATGCTCAGTTTGATGCCTCACACTATGACAGCGAGAAAGGAGGTGAGGGATATTATATGATATTTTAACATAAACATTACTGTCTTTCATTGTAATAAACTGTCATGAAGTTCTTATATTAGGATGTTGTGGCTCACAGTTCTTGTCAATGAAAGTTAAACTTTGCTGAAATCTTTAATGCTTCAGAAAATATAGGTATGTATTTTTGTTTTTTGTAATATTTTGGTTAATCAAATACACTTTCCCATACCATACCCCATTTAACATGCTTAGTAGAACAGAATTGCTTTTCATACATGTACTTTTGCAACAACCATCTTATGTATATGCTGTTCCTTAATTCAGAGTTTGGAGGTTTTGGTTCTGTAAGTGGGAAGATAGAGATAGAGATCAAGATCAACCATGAGGGAGAAGTGAACAGAGCGCGTTACATGCCTCAGAATCCTTGCATCATTGCCACCAAGACCCCCACCAGTGATGTGCTGGTCTTTGATTACACAAAGCACCCCTCGAAGCCCGGTAAGATTACAGCCCAATCATATTTTCTGAAGAGTTTTCAAAATAGTTTCCGCTCAATTTTATTACATTGCTTTTATTGGTATTGAAGACCCTTCAGGAGAGTGCACCCCAGATCTGCGCTTGAGAGGCCACCAGAAGGAGGGCTATGGCCTCTCCTGGAACCCAAACCTCAGTGGCTGTCTCCTCAGTGCCTCTGATGACCATGTAAGCAACCTCTCATTATCTTCTGTTCTTTTTAATGTTTTGGTCAGTAGAACTCGGCTGATATTCGATATTATCAAATACTATTGAATATCGCAATATTTTCCTGCTGTATGCAATATCTTTAAGATCATAATATTGAAATTTTATTTCATTTTATTTTTGCAGTTTTGCACAGTTTTCCCTGCTGCCAAGTCTGATCCTCATTTCACTGCTTGCTTACTGTACATTGTACCTTAATGTGTGACAAAAAATTTAACTGCATCGCTTATACCTGAAATATAAAATACAACAATATAATTATATTGAACCCCAACCTCCCCTGGGATAATATTGGATATTGTTCAAGCCTATTGTTAGTACACTTTCTTACCCACCCCCTGTTCCTCTGTTCTCTCTTGCAGACTATTTGCCTGTGGGACATCAGCACAGTGCCCAAGGAGGGGAAGATTGTGGATGCCAAGACCATCTTCACAGGCCACACAGCAGTGGTGGAGGATGTCTCCTGGCATTTGCTCCATGAGTCACTCTTTGGATCTGTGGCTGATGACCAGAAACTCATGATGTGAGCAGCCCTTATTTTGATCCCAGAATTCACCACCCGCTGTGGAGAGTTGCTGTTCAGTTTCAACTCTTTTTAACAATGGTGCCTTTGTCCGTTTCGGCACAGCTGGGATACGCGGTCCAACAACACCTCCAAGCCCAGCCATGCAGTGGATGCCCACACTGCTGAGGTCAACTGCCTGTCCTTCAATCCCTACAGTGAGTTCATCCTGGCCACTGGCTCTGCAGATAAGGTAGGTCCATGCCCTGCACAGCTATTAAACAGCAAGCTGCTGTACAATGATACATGATCTATTCTTATACTCTCAGTATAATGAGGTGAATCAGTGAAAGCGGACCACTTTTATTTTTAGACCGTGGCTCTTTGGGACCTAAGGAATCTGAAACTAAAGCTGCACTCGTTTGAGTCTCACAAAGACGAAATCTTCCAGGTAAGAAGTGAATCTCTGATCAGTTACATTCATTTAACGTACAGCATGTAGCAGAGTTATCGTTTGGTCGATCTGTATGGGCTCAAAATAGGGTCAAATTTTTATTTGATCTTGTAAAGTGATGTTTACAAATAATTCCGGAGTTTGTAGTTGTAAATCAAACTCTGTAAACCTGTAAAATAAATTTGCATGAGATATTCATGTTTGTACAGCTGTAGAAAAGATTTGTTTTTGTCGGGAAAAAAGAGAGAGACAAAAGGCCCTTTGTCAGCTTGTGTACAGATTCAAAGCAGAAAACGGTGCGTGAAAGTCATTCAAAACTCAATGTTCCAAATGTAACACTGATGTTACAAGTATGGATTTTGACCCCGTGTTTACATCTGAATCTGACTGGACAATGACCAATCAAAAAGTAGAGTCCAATCAGAGCGCATGTGGTTACGTTACCTGAAAGGTGTAGATTTTCAAGACGTGCATAATTTCCTTTTGTCAAGTACAAACTTGAACTTCTCTTATTTATTTATCATTATTATTATTATTATTATTATTATTATTTATTTATTTAGCAGGTGTACAGGTTGATTTACAACTACAAACTTTGGAATTATATGTTCACTTCGCTTTACTAGCTGAAAATCCTCTTTGACCCAAATTTGAGCCCATAGATCTGGAGTTAGGTTGTAAACACTGGCTGGTAGATGAAAAAATTGAGGCTTAAATGAATGCTGTGGGCCACTGACCATGTTGTGGAATGGGGCCTGTTTGCCATTTAAGCCACCTGTCTTGCCCATGGCTTTATGAGATCAAGCATGTTATAATTGTTATCTATATGATGTGATTCAAAGGTGGGACTAGAGAACAGCCAAAAGGCAACAGTCAACCCACTGTTTCTGAAAACTTTTAGTGTTGTTGATAATGCTACTTTTGATTAGTTTAATGTTCATGGAGTGCTTTGTGGCAGAAATGCATGCATGAAACATCCGGTCCATTTCATCCCAACAGGTTCAGTGGTCTCCTCATAACGAGACCATCCTGGCCTCCAGCGGCACAGACAGAAGGCTCAACGTCTGGGACCTCAGTAAGATCGGAGAGGAGCAGTCTCCAGAAGATGCTGAGGATGGCCCTCCTGAGCTGCTGGTCAGTTTTATGGTTGTGTGCGCAACTTTTTTAATTTTTAATTTTAAAGGTTCCATATTGTAGAAAGTGAGATTTCCATGACATTTTCAATTATAAAGCGGGTTTAGGTGCTATATAAATACTGTTAAAGTATCAAAGCACTCAGTCCACAGAGACGCACACACAGCCCGTATTCAGAAACTGTGCCGTATAACTAGTCATCAGGACCTGTGCAATTAGGTAATGTCTCAACTATACAGTCCCCGCCCTCAGCCATGCCCCCCACCACAGCCCACCCAGACCCACTATACAACCTTTTTTTTTCTTTTTACTTTATTAACAACGTGACACCAAGCAGTCATTCTGTTCCTGAGCTCACAAGTTGCAAGACAAAAATGTTGTGGAAACGCTGCACAATCATTGGATGTCAGGAAGCCAGTATATCACTGCACAGCCTTCCCAAGGAGAGTAATATTAGAGACCAGTAGCTAGAGTTTACTTTTTCTGAAATTTCAGCATTTTAGGCCAAATATGTCCGTCCACAATATCTTCTTTTGGATATCAAAACCTTAAAAAAAAAATCGGGAAAAATACAAAATATGGAGCTTTTTTTCAAATTGAATTTCAAGTGCTGGAGTAATCCCTCCTGCTCTGTTTGTCTTTAGTTCATCCATGGAGGACACACAGCTAAGATCTCAGATTTCTCTTGGAACCCCAACGAGCCGTGGGTCATCTGTTCTGTATCAGAGGACAACATCATGCAAGTCTGGCAGATGGTAAGAGCCTTGTTTATTGGCAAGGGTGTCAGAACTTCATTTAATTATGTGGAGTCATAAGAACATGAAATAATAGACATAATACGAAGAGAACTTTGATATTAAAGTGCATTTATTACAACAATCAGAACAAATTACAGTAAATATTTCTAACATGTTCTCCAACAGGCCGAAAACATCTACAATGATGAAGACCCAGAAGGTGCTGCAGATTCAGAGGTTCAAGCATGAGTCCAGTCTCCACGTCTCTTCGTTTGACCTGCTTGTTAAAAATGGATCACATTTCCAATGTTGGGTGCATCAGCAGTAATGTCTTTTTAAAAAAAAACACAAAAAAAAACATTTTGGGCAGCAGTGGTTTTGTAGAAAATTAAAGAATAAAATGCTGCATTGTCATCATGTTGTGAGGTATTTAAAATACAGTCTGTATCGGTCAGATTTTTAGATCTTTAGTTTTTCAGACTCCCAGTAATCCACTCTGGTTTGTGACGAAACCATCACAGATGAGTCCATCATTCAGGTTTGCATAATGATGGTTTCATTTGTTTCTTCTTGATTAGTTGTGCTGAAAGCATTTCTACAGAGATCCATTTTTAATAAAATTGTACATACTGTAGGTTTTTCCTTTTTATTTGCTTGATATTTGTAGTAGGAATTTTCCAGATTGTGTGTTGTCACTTGTATGTGTTTTTTTCACTGCATTTTTTTGTTTTTCTGTGCTGCATCTGATCTCTTGTGTACTTAAGTATATTCATAATAAAAAATATTTACATTAAATCAATTTGCTTTGTTTTTTGATACAGCATATCAGATGTTAAACTGTATGTAAGAGAAATTTTAAGTAATGAGTCTGTAAAAGCGAATAAATACCAAGTTTGAATTATGCTGCATATTATTAAGTTTTAGCTGTCTGACATGAAATGAAAATGCAAAGCCATGGTTTGGTCAAGTGTAGATATCCTGGATAAGAATATCCACTGGAAATAGAAAATTAGGGCTCTTCCTCTGTGGTGGTTTCACTCGCTTCATCACAGCCTCTATAAAATAAGGCATTCATTAGTCATTGTTTTTATTCTGATTCTCAGTCTAGTAAAATTAACTGGTTTAGAATAAACGTACCTCAGAAATGTCAGCTCTGTTAATAGACCATCTCTAAGATCCTCCAAATCTTTCTTAGATTTTCTTTGAACTTCAAACTCCACTTGTAGTTCCCTCAGAGTGTCTTTTAACTTCTCCACAGTCTCCTGTGGTAAAGTGGAGAAAAGTCTTGGTTTGTCTGGTTTCACCTCACACTCTATATTTGGCATGTCGTACTTGACCTGGGTCACTAACCTTGTGTTGTGTGACGCTCTCCTCTCGCTCCCTCTCCATCAGAGAGATCCTCTGCTCCAAACAGGATCTCTGCACCTCCAGTCTCTGGATGTCCTCTCTCAGGGGCCCCAGACTGGCCCTCAGGTCCATCGCCTGCTCCCTGCTCTTTCTCAAGGCATCCTCCCCAATCTGCCTCCTCCTCAGCAGGGCCATGAGTCGAGGCTCGTACCAGCCCTCCAGCGCCCTCACGCTGCCGCTGAGCCGCCGCTGCAGTCTAACAGATGCCTGGCGACACTGGCTGACGTCGCTCATGGCCCTGGGCCTGCGGAGCTTAGTGGCCTGGTCCCTGAGAGAGTTGAGCTGGCTTTTTTGGGCCTCTTGGAGCTGGGACAACTCCTGAGTGAGATTTTGGATGTGGGCCTTAAGCTCCTCCTGCGGACAGATGTAAAATAGAAAAGACAGACATCATAGATAGATAGATAGATAGATGAATACTTTTTTTTTTTTATTTATCCCCTAGGGGAAATCCATGAACATTTAGAAGATAATTGTTGATCATGATTTTGTTGAAAGCTTTTTGGGATCTGTGGTAATGAAACAGGTAAAAAATGGCAACTATTCCCAACAAAACAGTACAGAAGAAAACAATAAAACATAGCTCATAGTTCAAGTTTCAAGTTCTAGTTTCCAACCTGATCATAAATTTTTATAACTTGTTTATTAGCCAAAATTATTCCTTAACTTGTTTAGACTTCCGTGTGTTCTCACCACCACCATTATACTCAAGGTGTATTATTATGCTTGATGTAATTTGTAAATATTTGTATTGTAAATTTGGTTCCCTGCATAATGTATTTTATCTTTTTACCCCTAAAATATGATATACCCTTTCAGTTTCAGCACACCCCTTCCCAATGACCCACCGCAGTAAATCAATACTCTAAATCCAGTGGTTCCTACCTGTGTGACTGCAGACTGAGCCACCTCGTACTCGTGTGCAGCCAGTGTCACCTGGCTCTGGATGCATTCTCTGGCTGTGGCAAACAGCTTCCTCTTCACCTGCTGCACTTCCTCATAAACAGCCACATAATCCAGCTGAGCCAGAGTGAGCAGCCTCTGTGTCTGCACCACCTTCGCACTCAGGTGCTTCACAACTCGCAGCATGGGTTCCTGCAGAGAGAGGAGCTCCCGTATCAGCTCGTCCCTCTGCTTCTCTTGACGGGACACTTGCTGGATGCAGTGCTCGAACAGCTGGCCCAGGTTGTCCATGACAGCCTGGTCCACTTGCGTTGTAGGGTGTTGTGTACACTGATCTAGGAGAATGATCGTCTCTGTTTCAGAGTCAGTGTGGCTGCTTTCTGTGATCTCTCCAACAAATCTAAGTTCCATCGACGAGTCCTGAGTGGAATCCACGTCTTTTTCATCCTCTATTGATCGTTGATTGTCCATGAGCTGCTAAGAAGTGAACTAGAAGGAAAAGGTCATTAATCAAATCAACAACATCAATAACTGAATCTCTCTAATCTGGTCATTCATCTCAGGTTAATTTGCATAACAGAAAAATCCATTGTAAATGTGATCAAGTTAACGGTGTTAGCTGCAAACCTCAGAATGAGTCAGCCAATCGTCACGCAGGGGAAGACCTTAAAAAGCCTCGGGTCATTGTCAAAAATATCTCATACTGATCTTACTTAACAAATAGCAACAATTCATATTAACTGATATTTCTACTCACTTTGTTCGGAGGTGACAGTCCAGATAGATGGTGCAGACAGCTGTGGACACGGTTTGCTTTAAGCTTTAAGGACAGCTCAGCAGTGTGTCTGTCTCCAGGAAAACACAGGCACACTTTGTGCTTATTAATAACACCGGAGGCACGGGGGGAAACTCTATCTAAGACTCTCATACCCCCACATGGGATCACAAACTGTGTCAGTGCTGAGGACTGACTGGCCTACATGCTCTGGATGCATCAGCAAACACATGTCTGGACCAGCCTGGGCGCCACAGAGAGCTATATTTACACATCTTTCCTGCCTGTTTTTATGTTCATCTGAGGAAACTATCTGAGCAATAAGTTTCCTCAACTTCCTACCTGAAAAACATGCTTTCTGCTGGACTACAGCACAGGCAGAGGTGGAAACATTAGCAGGCCCATGCAGATTGTTTCCTCCAGTATTAAGTTTGCATGGTTCATGATTGCTTATAGTTTTTTGCATGATGCCTGTCGAACTCCTCACAGACAAACAAACATACATCAACTGACAGATACGCAAAGAGGAATTTCATGACGGAGACAATTTGAGAAAGAAAGTATGAGTGTATAGTATGTATAGTATGCAAACATGCCAGTTATGTATGTTACTCCAGAGTGCATCACCTATGCTGTTGTCACCCATTTAGCCAAACAAAACCATGTATCTCCAAATTTGTAATTTGTTTCTTTCATGAGTTGGGGAAAATCTAATGCCTCTTAAGATAAATAAACAGTTTAAAAACCATGGGATTATCTAAAAATGAAATGTATTGTCACAAAGCTGAAATCAGGGTTGTTTTTATTGAGTCATGAAAAGTTTATGTTTTGGAGATACATGGTTTTCATAGGGCAAAGACATGTATGCATATTGTTCATTTATTGTTGCTTATGTTTGTTGCCATAGTTTGTACTTGCTTTGTTGTTTTGCAAGAATTAAACAAACAATAAAAGCACATGCATAGGTTTAATAATGAGGGAAAACAGTTTATAACTGTTGGCAAAATCCTAAATGCAGATAATATAATTTGCTTTAAAATACAAAATTAAATTGCAATCTAGATGAATGCACGCCCTTTCTTTTAACTCTCAGGTATTAATTGTCATTCACTATCACTCATACTGTATGTTGTGTATGAAAAAAAAAAAAATGCTCCCCCTCTCTTGCTCAGCGGTGACTTGCTGTTCCTCGGCCCCGCCACTAGATGTCCTCACAACAAAGACCGCAGCCTCTCCCTCTCACCTGAGCGCGCGCCCAACCTCCCTCCTCCTCCTCCTCCTCCTCCTCCTCCTCCTCCTCCTCCTCCTCCTCCTCCTTCTCCACCTCCTCCTCCAGGTCCAGGTGGGAGCTGCAGGTCGACAGCAGCGCAACTTCTCCTCATTTCCCCACTTTGGCCCAGAGGAGCGTCCGCAGACCGACAGCACTGCCAGCAGTCAGTGTAGCTGGCGTCCGAGCAGACCGAGCCGCCCCGGCGGGAACAAACAAATCCAGATTCCAGTTTGTTTCCTGAAGAGCTTTTTCACGGAAATGCTTCACCTGAAGTTTCCCCTCGGACGGTAAAAGTTTGGAGTTGGAAAGGAAGGGAGACGATTCAAATGGAGAGAGGGTGAATCAGCACATCTGGATCAGTAAAGTTTCACAAGGTATGATTAACACCTTTTTTTTCCTTTGTCGTTGTATAAATTTAGACAGATAAGTGCGGTTATTAGTTCCCATTGTGGATTTTGTAAATTCCTCCTGATAGAACATCCTAAACTATGCATTGGCATTTTAAATAGTGGAAAATATAGTTTAGTCTTTTTGCAGAAAGTCAAAATTATATTGAAATAACACCAGGGTCGAAAGAATCAACTTTAAAGTTGTGCAGAAAATGTATTTGTAAGTAAAACTGTTGCATCATGTTGTCTGATTGGTCTACTACACTTGCTCTGATATGAAAAAATATGGAATCAATTCTCAAATTAAAGAAAATTGTCCCCACATGTCCAAACCAGTGCTCCAAAGTGTAATCTAATAAAGTGTGGGGAAAATGGTTGGCAGGAGACTGAGTATAGTTATGCATGAAAAACTAGGTGTGGGACATTTGCTTAGCCTGGCCTTGAGGGATCCTAAGCAGAGGTAATTTAAGACCTGTAGTACTCCTCTCAGCTATGGAGCTTATGACAATGAAGACTATTGTTATTTCCTGTCACTGACCCAGCAGCAAATGACTGTTTGACAGCATGGTGCACTGACACCTGGTTTAATCTATGCCAGTCAATGACAGTCCATGTGTAGTTCATTATAGACCCTCTGCTTGTTGAGTAACCCGCCACAGATAACATGAGCACCTCAGGTGTTCTCAGGGGTCTTCCCCCTCTCTGTTTGTTTGCTGCCTCTCCTGAACTTTGGACTCAAGGCAAACCCACAACTTTTCTGAAAAGTCTGCAGTGATCAATGCTTGTTTTTTTGGGTTTTTTTTTATCTCCATGGTTTCACATTTACCTCTTGCACCCTCTGGTAGGTGAGGCTGAGACAGAGCCATTTGTTTAGAAAGGGTGTGTCGCATACTGGTGCTCCTTCCTTAGCCAGCCTACCATGCCAGGGCTTGTACTCATGGAGATTACAGGTGTGTTATGTGAACACTGGAGATACAGCAGAGCCTGGTACCTGAGATTCAGACGAAGATTAGGGTGGACATCAAGGAAGAGGAGGGATGATAACAGAGGTATAGTGAGGGATGAGAGATAGGACAGGATGAGGAATTCACTGAAAAGAAAGACTGTATTTGGGGCAGCCAGGTATGGTTCAGCTTTGCGCTGCAGTGTGTTTACTGTGCTCATGACCAATCAGTGATGAAGTGCCAGCTTAGTGGAGGAAAGGGGGAAAGCTGTGGGTCAAGAAAGGGCAACAGGAGGAACAATAGGTGTTGTAATGGATAAAGACACAGGGAGTGAGTGATGTGTGTGTGTGTGTGTCATGCAGGCCCGCAGCGAGAGGACAACTCCTGGCTGATGAGTGGGACACAGTGTTGTTGTTAATCAATGGGATTATCTGATGAGTAACTCATCAGTGGGTCCTCATCAACACAGTACATCAGTAGCTGTTGGGGCAGGAGGGGGTGAAAACGCATGCCCATGTTTGTTTCTTTTCTTCTAAGAGTTCACATGAGTCCTGCTCCAAACCGAGGGACGTTTTATTCCCACACTGCAATTTTCTCTGACGGATGTCCACTCGGGCGACCGTCAGGCCGAGTGAGCCTCAGACTGAAAGCGATTTGAAGCAGCTATAGAGTTTTTGTTTTGACTGGGGCAGAGCGGAGACACTGAAATGCCAGGATGTATTTTTAAACCCCAGTGTCCAGCTGTGTTTGCCTTCACTGCGAGCTGGTCACTGCTGCTCCACAACCGTTTCGTTTTTTTTACCCCCTTCTGACCTGTAGGTTCAAGGGTCTGCACAGAGGCTGCAGTCCAGACTTAGACCCCTGGCAACCCCCCTGGATGTAAAGCAAACAAGACACTTTCCAGAGGTCTGCCGCCGTCTCTGAATACGGACAGAGAACATTCAAATTGCCAGAATTTACTTATCCTATTTTTACAAAGAAACAAAGAAGTAAACAATGGAAACTATTTATATGAATTCAAATACTAACATTGGTGGAACCGACCACATTTTCCTGCAGTTTACTTCAAAATGTAGTTTAAGATACTTATAATAGACAATTGGACCGAAATTAGTTTGTACAATTTTATCACATACCAGGAAAGTGCCCTTATTAGGTGTTTTTGACAACTACAGTACATCAGCCTCTTGTAATATTAGAGCTGAAGTGATCAGTACATTAATTGATTAGTTGTTTGACAGAGAATTAATTGGCAACTATTTGGCATTGCAAGTGATTTTTCAAGCAAAAATGGCAAAGACATTTTTGAAAGTTTTGAGTTTTTGCTACTTCTCTTTGTCTTATCTGATACAAGACTGAATCTGTTGTTGGAAAATGATGTTTTTTCATAGTTTGACGCATATATTTCCAAACATCCTGTAAACAAAAAGTCTGCCCTGTTTCCATAGAGGTATAATATTTGTACCTCCCCTCTGAAAAGCATAGTCACTGAACAATAATCTCAGCCAGTGCACACAACCGCATATTATAATGTTATCTCTAAATGACTCTCATGCGCCAGCCATTATCCTCTTTTTTTCTTTCATGGCCTGGTCTCCTAGGCCACTGTATAAGGGATGTGTGGCAGGGAGTGGGGGCAGTGAGGGAGGGGATGACTGGCGGAGGACGGGGGGAGGAGGAGGAGGAGGTATGTGTCGGGGGGTGAAAGCAGATTTGGAAAGAAGAGTTCCTCAGTCGGTAATTATCAATCTCTCAGGAATGTAGCTGCTGCTCTTACCAGACAAGCTGCTGCATGGCTACAGCGGCCTCGCAGCACGCCAACTTGCATTACCTCGTCTACAGATCTCTGCACTGTACCACCATGTGCGCACGCACACACACACGTGCGTGCGCACACACACACACACACACACACTTAGCATCTATAACCTCAGTGAGTTCACTTACATAGCATTTTGGTTTATTTGTGCCATTGTTGTCTTCCAGCCTTGTTGTGTGTATTTTTATCACTGTCATTACCTACATGGTATTTTTCTGAAACTTGATCCTTTCTGCACCAAACAAAGGGACCACATAATGTCAGTGAGCAATTGTCTTTGGGTCCAAATCCTTCACCGCTGTGTGTTTATACTGATATGTTGGTATGAAACCAAATTGTAGGAAACTTGTGGCCACCCTGGACTCCCGCTCTTCAAATGCAATTTTCATGAGCTGTTTGGTGCCATTATTTGTAAGTCTTGTAAACCTCTCTGACAATTTAAAAAGCAGCCTACTGTGACAGAGCAAGACCACTTCCTTTAAGGTGGGAAATCTTTCATTGATGCCACAGGACTCCCACAGAGCTCTCCTAGAAAGAAGAATCTCATTCCACCGACCGTCCCTGGTGTCAAACCTCATCAAGTCGTGGAATTAAGTATTTCCAGTTCATCTCAAAGTCATCCATCACAGTACATTTCTTGTTCATTGAGTGTTTGCACACGAATGTACAGAGTTGCCCAGACAAGGTTGTTTTAAGTTTGCTCTTGAGTAGCAGTGCTCTCCTTTGTTTGATAATGCCCAGAGAAGACAGCCAACGCCCTGACTGATGCCTACAGGTGCCGCGCAGTAACTCCAGTTTTTACACTGCTAAACACTTGCCATTTAGTTACAGGGTCACTTTAAGTGTAGTTTAAAAACTGTTATTGCCCCAAACTGGCTGTTACTGTAAAACCTATTCCAATGATCTCCCCAAAACCCCCCCCCCCCCCACTACAGAGATTATTAACCTTCCTAATCTGTTATTTCCTCCATATGGAGACTAACCACACTCAGCCCGACCTTAACCTCAGCTCACAGACAGCTAAGTCATACCCTGTGGAAATCCAGCAGACTTAGATATGAATGGCCTTCTGCTTAAACCGAGCCAGTCCTAACTCAAACAACGGTGGCTGCCTGTATCAGCGCCACTCCCTGTGAGGCAGTGGCGGAGTCTGCTCCGTCAGCTTCCCTATGTGACTCACCGCCTGTTCCTGGAGACCCACCCCCCCAACCCCCAGGTCACTGCCTGCGAAATTCACAACGGTCATATTTGCCAGAGTTGATAAGGCTGTGATTACACTTGAGATTAAAATGAGTATTATGTATTATGAGTTTACGCTTAAGTTTTGTCACAGATTGAGGGCTGAAAAAGCGAGAGTTTTTTTTTTTAACCTACTTTTTTTTATGAAATGTTTGAACGAACCTCTGAACCACATGGTTTCAGTTTGTCACACAAAATGATTCACTGGGTGCCAGAAAACCTTCACAAACATGGGCAACTATTGAGAGTCAGTTTAGTAAATTCCACCTTAAAGGCATTTTGTTTAAAACAAATACTGAGAATTATTTGCAATTCTGCTTTAACACACAGATCTGTTTAGGGTGTGTACACAATTTAAAGTAGTTTTCAGCAACTGGTTTTCCCCTCTTTCTTTTACACACCAGTTTGTCAAAGAAGAAGTACAGCGGCGCCCATCTTAAAATGGAGATTTGTGGTATATTATCCTGGATTTAGGACCTGGCTGTGTACAGTAACCCACGCTACTGTGATTTGCTCGAGGCAAGACAGGTGTCGGTGCTTTGCGTTGCTTAAACGCTGTGGACCTGGCTGCGCAAAGATGGAAAGGAGACCCAGATTTCCACTGGAATTTATATCCCGGAGCTCCACGACATGTACTGTAGGTGTCGGAGGTAGATAATCAATAAATGTTGTTCCCAGAGTCTCGCAGTCTATTGCATGACAGTGTGTAAACTATTATCAGCCCCAGTTGACTCTATGCTGATGTGTACACACTGCTGTCAATGTCAGATAATCAGTCACTGCTGCAGGTATTGACACACAGTGTTGAGGTTTGCTGCGTTAGAGCGGTACCTCCTGTCCAATGTGATGGCCTGACGTCTTTTGTAAAGGATAAGTAAACAGCATGTTGGAACACATGCCTGCTCCGGCAGGACCGGGGCTGGGCTTGAAAACCACAGCGGATTTAGTGTGTGAGAGAGAGAGCATACAACTTTTTTTGTTTGTAGGCGCATGACTCGATCATGATCCTGATGATAATAGGATACACCCTCATGCAGTGTGGTGTAGGTGATGCTGCTGGAGGTTTTTAAGTCAGGTTCTCTATGTTTTGTCACACAGATATTCACAAAAGATCCGATTGGAAATTCTCCCTCTCTGCCCGTATCAACTTTTATGAACTGAGAGGTGTGATTTCGGGGTTAAGTAATAACTGTGACAATGAAGCAGCTTTGTAATTAAGATGTAAGTGCACTGGCTTTGAAAAGAGATTGTGAGTTCAAAGCTTATTTACGAGAGAGAGGATTGTGACAAGAACATTTTCCCTAAACTGAAGAGATGAGACGTTTTCTTTATACAGACCTTAAAATAAAACAGGCAAACATACTTGTAGTGTGGTGAAGATTTTAAAGGACACTCCACTGCTTGCGTCACCTCATTAAATTTGTTTGCAAAACTGAAAATTGCAGGTTGTTTAGCGTAACCACGGCAACCATGGCATGAGTCATCTCCCAGTGCCCCGGACTACACAGACAACCATCCGCTGGGTGGTCCTCCGCCGCATCCCACGGTTCTTAGCATTACTCTGGCCCCTCCGTGATGGAATTAATACGAGGAGCCGCTGCACTCCCAGCAGCCTGTGGGCTATATGTGAATGAACCAGCCCCTCTTTTCCAGAGAGAGGGCGTCTGATTATTGGCGACTGTAGCCAATACAGATGCATGGATCTTAGTCATGGCCAAATGACTGTAATTTGGAGCAGCAGAAACACAGGGCTGAGTGCAGGGGGAGGGCGGGTACTTTTCTGCAGAGGAGATGGATGCTCCGTCTTGTTATTGGCCTTTCACTACAACTCACACCTTATAGTCTGCTCCATACACACTGTGCCACTTCAGATGTACTGTAGCGAGTAACAAGTTCAGCTTAGCTACATTAAGATAACAAACTACTTCAGTGTATAAGGTTTGAAAAAAAACATTCAAGTACTTTATGTACTCGGTTTAAGCCTCTCATATGGAGCTGCAGACCAGAACCAGATTTACCACTAGTTTTTAGTCATGCTGGCAGCGTGGCACAGCAAATATTCATGGTGCCCAGAAAATAGATCCTAATAACTTTCCTCTGGGAGATGCCTATAATATTGCCTATAATATTCAGTTTATGTTTTAGCCCTGAGGTCACAGCGATGGTGTTGCACGGGGCTGTGTCATCGAGAGGTGTTTCTAATAGAAAAAAAAATAGAAACACCTCTCAATATAATGCAGTACAACACCTCTTTTAACTATAACCTCAATAGTAAATATATAATGTAATTTACACATTTCGGACAACGTCAGCAGATACTGAACATAATGAGCTTTATAGAGATAGATGCTATGGCAGGGCTGTTGTATTGGATTGCATTAAACTGTACAGGTAGCCACTAGTGAGATCCTGACATTGTCAAGGTTTGACTAATAAAAGCTTAATTTATTTATGTATAATATGTAAAGCTTTTCATTTTCCACATGATATTTCCAAACCGTAGTCCTTTAACTTGTCCTTTAACTCATCACATCCTGCGCTCTATGTTACACCGAGTTTTGAATGTGGGAGGCAGTTTGGAAAAGTCACATTTGTAATCCTCAGAGAACATGGCATAGTATTCTGTGGTTTAGTTTCATGTCTCGTCATGGGGCAAGTACTCCACGAGACTTTGTTACTCACACATTGCTTGCGCTAAAATTTGTCTTTTTTTCACGCATGACTGTGAAGCAACGTTGCCGCAGCCAAAAACTTTTCATGAACTCTCTCGACAGAAAATCACACAGGTATTCATAATTCTCTCACTCTGACTCCACTCCCACCTTCCCTCTGTCTTTTCTGCTTATTTACAAGCTCTGATTCCTGTCATCTCCAGAGCTTGTTCCTACTTTCGGCCTGTGATTTGGAGATAAGTATCTAATAAAGTACGCAGCTGGAAGAAGCCCAGTGTAAGCCACAGATCCCCAGGAGTAAGGCTGGGAAATCTGCCTCAAAGTCGAGGAGTTTAGCGAGGTGAAGGGTTGAAGAAGGAGGATGAGGGGGGGGTGATGAGCTCATTGCACGGAGAGTGACAAGAAAAAAAAAAGAAAAAAAAAAAAGGAAACAATGAAACAGAAACTGCACTGAGATATGTGTGTTCGTTAAAAACACCTCAGTGCAGATTGGGTGACTGTGTATTTTTCTGCTATTTAACTCTTCCTAGTGTGCTGTCGTGCCTGTGTGTAAAAGTGCATGAGCCTACGGGTGCGGCTTTGTGAATTATGACTCCATGTTATGGAATGAAGGGAGCGGTGCCAGTTCTTTCTTTGCAGAACTGTGAAGTTTGGTTTAGAGACAGGAGGGGGTCTGTGTATGCTGAGCATGTGGGCTGAATGAGCAGTGCCCACGGAGACGCACAAACACAAATACAAACAGACACACACACACACACACACACACACACACACACACACACACACACACACACACACACACACAAACACCAGCTGGGCTGCTCTAATGAGCAAGACTTTGCAACTGTGGACACATGTCCGATGCTGTATTTACCTGTAGTAGAACTGGATTCATCGGCTTTTAATGAATCACACTGTGAGTTTTATGCACTTTACATCGCCCAACACATAGTTTATGTTTGAATTTGATTTAAACTTTTAGAACCAGTTTTTGTCAAGATGAAAATCACCCTGCGGAGACTTGAAGCCTGTTTGGCACAGGTAATCCATCGTTATGAACCCTGTTGCTTTTGTGGTACATTCAAGGAAGAGCCAATATCTACTACATCAGCTGCGGAGAAGCGTGAGAACGATGACCTTTGTTGATGGGAAATCAAAGCTGGAAGGCAGAGTGTAATCAGACCAGAGTCATTGTTGTAAGGTTTCTTTGCAGAGGCCAACTCTCAAATATTGGATGCTGTGCTATTTCCATGAGCATAACAGCAAGGTTGGTTTTAATAAGTGCTTCTGCTTACATTTACACAATGACAGGGTAACTTTGGCATGTCATGAAAATGAAGTTGACAATTTTTTTCCATTTTTCTGTCTCTCTGCGATGGTCTACCTAAAGCAAGTATCCAGTCTCTGTGAGTTGATTTTAATTAGTGGTGTTAATAAAATCCAGTGGGAGCTAGAAAAGGTTGGAAATCAATGAAAAATCTGGACTGGTCCTATAATTCTTACCGATGATGACTAAAATTTAATTTCTGCCTTAACCTCTGTTCTGTTTTCCCTCTCTGCTTTTTGTTCAGGACATAGCTCCAGTGTGAGGTGGTATGTCAAACCGTGACTCGCTGGGGTTCGGGGACCTGCTTCCCCAGGATGTGGTCCAGATTTTTGCCCAGGAGAAGCACAGCAAAAGGGGCCGCAAGAAGCGCAGGCACTCCATTGGCCGCGCTCTGCGCTGGTTGAAGGGCAAGAAGAGGAAGAATCTTGGCGCTAATGGGCAAAATCTGGGTCTTGGTCCTGCGTTCGACTTGGCCATAGATGGGCACCCTGCGGGGCACCAGGGTGGACACAAGGGAGGGCAGAAGTCAGGACGACAGACGCATCCACACGGGAACAGTCATGGTAAGAGACCGCAGGATGCTGCACTGCAGTTTCATCCCATCTTTTATAAGTGAGTTTGCATTTTGTCAGTTGTGCTGTGGTGTAATTAACAGTACTCAAGATGTGACATAATATCCACCGTGAAAGAATGATCTGGAAAGTGAACTGATTTTCTGAAGTTAATGTATATGAACTGTATATGTTCCTTTCAATAGGAGGGAATGTAACTACAGTTTGCCGATATTTTGGTTTTAAGAGGGATTTTCTTTGCACACCATGGAGGATTTAGGTGGATCGACTCACCGGAAACAAAGATGTTTTAAGTCTCTTGTGAAATAAAACATTAACTTGTGCGGAAAAAAGAGCAGAGGGACTTTAATAAATGTGACTACTGTTAAGGATGTCATGTGCTAACTAAACTGATCACGAGTCATCCTGCAGAGACTTGGTAGCTTGTCCATTAAAGTGTACACCTTCTGATTTGTGCCACATTTATTTTTGCCCTTGTGTGTCAATGCAGTTAGAAGCACCACCGTTGCACCTTCAAACTGGGTTGACCAAATTTAGATCCTCCTCTTCATGGCATCTGTGTTTGCTCCTATAAAATAACTTACTGATGTAGGACTGAGAGAAGTGTTATAAAGTGTTTCTTTATCATTGTAAATGAAATATTTGTGGGTTTTGGAGTGTTGGTTGGATGAAACAAATGAGGGAAAGGGAAAATGATGTACTGATGAATTACATAAATAATTTACAGCTCTATCTTGAAAATAATCCTAAAATGTTACTCACAAAAATGCAACACAGCAGCTGGAAATCAGAGTCTCTGGTTGTAATTATAGTGCCATACAAGATATACTTTTGACACATACACACACGCACACAACATACAAGCAACAAATAATATATTGTGATCAATCCCTGTGCCAGGTAATCAACATCTTGTACTGACATGAAAGAAACCAACAGGTGCCTGGAGGGAAGGATGGTAATCTAGAAACTTGCAAATCTAAAAAAAATTTGTCAATAAGATGAAGTATATTATTGCCGAGTGAAGCCATTTATCATTGCTTAACAGTAAGCTCTTAAGTACATTAAACATATTTCTACAGAGAGCAGTTTGATAACATGACATCCAAGATGAGCTGGGATAAGGAGCTGGGAACTGGTTGAATGCCCTGCTCCTCGCCTCCCAGGCATGTGTGTTTGTTGACTGGAGAGAAGTTTGAACAGACTGACTTCCTACTCACCTTCTGACCTTCAGCTCTCTTTGTTTGCTGTGAAAAATCTCTGTCTTTCCTGTTCTGTGATACCGCCACTTACTTACCTGGTCATCAGGTTACATGGAGGGCAAAGTGCTGCATATACACGGGACATGCATGAAGTGGATGGTGTATTTCACTTTAACACACGCACATACACCCACACAGTTAACAAGTTAAGTAAAACACACGCTAACAATGTGAATGTGTAAAAAAATTTATTCACACACTCCCAAGAAAATTGCAGCAACACACGGACTTTTCCCAGAGCTGTGCTCGGCAGATCTTGTCGGAGCTTGTAAATGTGCACTCATATGTCGGCATGCTGAACTTTTTTTTTTTTTTGTGTACACTGTACTAACTTTAGTTTTATACTCTCATTAATCTCGAACTCTCAACAACTCGATGCAGTCAGACCTGAAACACAAAAACAGCAGACACACAAACAAAATCTTGTTTTACTGAGTTGGGTTATGCAAAAACACAAAAGTGCCAGCAGTGTTTGGTTTGGTCTGTTTTATGTACGGTTGTCTGGCAGTGCTTGTGCAGTCTTGGCTAATTGCTTTGCAGACAGAGGAGGCTCCGCCTGTTTCTTGTGCTGCGTCTTCTCATGGTGGAAGCCCAGAGCTTGTAGTTTGGCGGGAAGGGTGTTAGGGGGATTTCCATTCAGTCTCGAAGTCAAACTACACCCCACAACAGAAGATAAATATGTATAAACACGCTTTCAGTCACATCTGTGGCTTTTGTAGAAGATGAATGCGTAAACAAATGCGTCAGTGTGAGTACACTAGACAACATTACACAATCTTTGTACTGTATTGTGCTACTTATGGTTGGCTACAGCAGCAGTAAGAAGCTAAGAGTTTTGTAAGAGAAAGCAAACTGAGGAGAGATAAGGTATTTCTCCTCTGCCAAGGTCAGATCGGAGGCTGCCTTCCACACTGAGCAGAGGCCCTACTAAAAACACAGGTCAGCCTTTAAACAGCCAGAATGAATATTCATGCTAATGCTATATCAACTGGTATAACAGGCCTTAAGGTCACAGAAATATATCATCACAAAGCCGGAACTGTCGACTATTAACTGTAATTTATCTATCAGGTATTAACGTGCTGCTTTTGAGCCCCCGGCAATTAATGCGTTGTGTATGACATGCAGATTGTTGTTGCTGGCAACAGCCACAGCAAACTCCTCACCAGACGCTTCCTCTGATTAGAGGCAGCAATTCCCAAAATGCATCCAGAGGAGGTTTATTGCAGGGGCAGGACACGGTGCAATGTAACACACTTGCCCATAAGATTGAATACCTCAGAGCTGAGCCCCTGATGATGATCTGTATTGACGCCAGAGGGGCCTCCTGCCCACTAAATGCCTGGTATGGCAGGCACAGTGCCAGTTAATTAAAAGCCATGCCAAGACCGTTACAGTGAGAGGGGAACAAGGGGTTCTGTTTTTCCTGACCCTTCTGCTCACACTGTTCATCATCGCACACTCGGTATATTGGTCTGTGGCAATTCAATCTCTCACTTTGAGACACGCACTCAGCAAGTCCATCAATGTTAAAACTCATCACTCAACTCTTCTCCAGTACACCAGGCTTTATTCACCAAATGATTTCAGCTCTCTCACCTTCATCAGCCGGGTTGTTTCCAGTCTCGTGTACTGAGAAACAGGCATAAAAAACCCTAACCTGCCTTCCTCGTGTCAAAGTGGGTGTCAGTGTTCACAACTTAAATGAGGGGATGAAGTGGAACTATCTGTCTGGTCACAAAAAAAAAAAACACTATGAGAGTGAATTGTGGGAACATCAGGTAAACTTGTTCTGATGTCAACAAATAACAGCAGGCTAACGTTAAGTGCTAGCTTACAGTGCATCTCTCGCTAGTCCTTCCTGTCTTGCTAACCTAGCTGGGCGTTGCGTCTCTTGGTCCGTCTGTGTCTTGCTTACCAGCCACTTCAGCGCTGTGTTCTGTATCACTGCTGCATTATTAGGACAATAGTGTACAGCAGGAAGCAGTAATGTATGTTGCTGGATGAGAAAAATGATGAACACACGTAAGAAGAAACAAACTAGACGGCGGTTTCACATGACGGAGGACCAGCGCAGTCTTGGGATGAGCTGGGCAGAAGGTGAAAAACGAATCAACCTACAAGTGCAACACATTTGTGGGAACGTCTGCAACAGTGCGGGGAGGAACTTTCCAAAAAAATTTTCATTTCCAGCATCACAAGACTCTTTGGCTTCAGGATGAGTAAAAATTTTAGATTAAATTTATGATTTAAGGCTCCATGATTCCTTTTTTAAGAAAAAAAAATCTTCAGTAACAACTGGATTCCCTGTCAGGGTCAGCATCCAAACCTTGTATTTGTACGCTGTTTTATCTCATCCTTTGCTCTTGCGGGAATGTGTTTTTGTAAACAAGTCCTCTGGAGTTTGACCTGAGAGGGAACAGCATAGTGGCAGGTTTTGGAGTGATAAACTCTGGCCTCCTGAACTTTTCAGCTCCATGAACCCATTAACATTGCATTGTGTTCTGACCTGGACAAGGTTTCATCCCGAGCCAGGAGACAGAGGTTATCTGTCTTTTCATTTTCATTCACTTCCATTTGTCTAATTCCTCACACTGTTGGTACGAGTCTTTGCATACCTGTCTGACAGTGATTTATGTCCCTGTCATGCTGTCAATTTACTCCATCTTGTGTAAAAATAGACAACAGGCCTCTCTTATGCAACTCTGATCCTTCATAATGGGCTTTGAGAATAATTCCCTTGTTCATTTAAAATGAAAATGAGGTGAAGGAAAGACTGATTAGGTCATACCAACCTACCACAGTACACTCAGAAGGTCACCTGTTCACTTTAAACACTCCCTGAGAGATTCCTCACATTCCTGAGCTTTATAAAGTTATTTCTTTGAGGAGCTAGAAATAGGTAGCCCTTTGTGTGTGAGAGTGTATGTTTGGCTTACATGCCAGGTTAAGATCATATGAGCCATTTTATTTAACTTCCCTTGTTGGATATTCAGTCGTAGACGCTACTTAAGTGAAGCAGGACTGTTAAGCCTGAGTGTATTTATCTGTTGCTTTACTGTATTTTCTCTGTTTATCATGTAACGTAAGGCTGTGTCAGTTAATGGTGCTATGTGGAGCATTTTAACTCTGATAAACCGTTGCCACACCACTTTTGATAACAGCTGTATAAAAGACTTGCAGCTTTAGCAGGTTCATCATGAGGTTAGTTTTTGTATGTACTCGTCCAGATTGTATTGTAGTCACAAGGTGAGATAGCATTATAACGTAAATCAGGAAGCAAGTAAAAAAAAAAAGACAGATGGACAAATAACTTGCAACACATGGTTCATTTAGGGAAGTGAAAGAAAAACACCACCATGGAGGCGACAAGTTACAGCATCCTTACTAGAGGCCAAAGGCAACAGCAACCTTCAGCCATTTAACAGAAGAATTATATTGCTGTTCAGAACAGGCTTTAATGTTGTTTTCAACACTGCAGTTTTGTGTATTTGTGGGACACAGGGTGTCTTAGTGTGCTGTGATGATGACACAATAACAATGACAGGCAGGAGAACAGGTTTGAGAAAACTGACATGTGATAGAGTTTCACTTTCTTCCTCTCATGGTGGAAAGTTATCAACTGCCTTTTATACACTTCCACCTCAGGGAGATATATCCCTCTGACAGAAGCTGTCATTATTTAATCGTCATGTGAAAAACACGATTTATTCTTGCATGTGCTTTTAT